TAAATATTCTTCATTCACAGCTTTTGCCAATATATTTGGATTTGAAAGTGTCTTATGCATCACTTGACACATGACTCATCAAATATCATCAAAATGTGTGTGACCAAAGTGCATCAGAGCAGCTTAGCAAAATACATAGGCTAATTTTGATCCTGAATTTGTGTTGTATATGTCTCTACTGTTATTTGAGGCTTTCATGTTGAAAAGCCACAAAACGTTTCAGCCAGTTATTGTGACACAGTGAACATATGCTTTTAAATTCCATGATGACATACTGTTCCTAAAAGTTCTCTGTTTTCATGTCTCTTCCGTTTTTTTTTTTTGTTGTTTTTTTTAAAGGTAAATGCACAGGTTTTGGCCAGCACGTTCTCCCAGGATTCAAACCAGCTGATCAAACTGGGTGAAGCTGTCGGAGCAGTGCTGCAGTCATGCGCTGCTGCTGAGAAACCATTCAGTCATGTCAAAATCACCACTCAAGGTAAAAACAAACTGGTCCAACCAGTTTGTGGTTAACAAAAGGTTATTTTTGGGGATAATATATATGGAGCCCTCTGGTGGCATGATTGTGAAACAGCAGCTGCCTTTATGTTAGACCAGCGAGTTGCAAACAACATAAGTTTGCAACTTTATGAAAATGCATTTTCCGATTTTGTACTTGCTTACTGCGACAGTGAACATTTAAACTGTTTTCTCTAAACCAGGGGATTGCATGAAGTCCTCCACTGGCTTCATGACTTCTTCAGTCCTTGTTGGACTCCTGAATCCTAAATCTGGCTGCTGCCCGAATCTCATAAACGTACTGAGCCTTGCCAAGGAGTCTGGAATCACGGTACAGCCGCAACATTTTCTGGCAGTTGCATGAAAATGACAAGTATCTAGAAATAAAATGACTACATGTGTGAACTAACTCCCCAGGTCAACCAGAGCCACTGTGCATCAGACGAGGCGTCCAGCGGTGTGTGTAAGGTGGAGGTCATGTCAAATGGCTGTAGCTACAAAGCCAGTGGTTCAGTTCAAGGTGGTGTGCCGGTGCTGCTGGAGCTGAGTGAAAGTGTGTTCAGGCAGCCCGTCTCTCTTACCGGAAATCTACTGTTCTTTAAGGCCTCCGCAAACCCTCAGCTCCTCTCCTCCGTGGCTGGTAAGAATTGAACCTCTTATGTTTATGGGATGACGTAAGTAAAGCTAACAACCTCCATAGAATTTTAGTTTGTAATTTCACTTGATGGTAGTGGTGAAATGGATCACAGTTGATCAGGTTCTGGATCTATTTTCTGGAACACGTGTCAAATTTGGGGTCGTGTGGGGAGCTGGAGCCGATTCCAGCTGCCATTAGGAAAGAGGCAGGGTTCTCTTGAAATATATTTTTATGAAAGGTTTTCACGGACTTTCACACAGAAATAGTCTGTGAAGTGTATTTTTACTCTTAATCAGACGCTGCTTAAACTTTTCTTCATTTCAGCTCATTGTGTCTGAAATAATCATATAATAAAAAAATTTCAGCAGGGAAATGTCTGTAGTCAATCAGATGTCTTCTTCCTATTCAGCCAATCACAGTAGCGTAGATTCAAACGTATGTTTTAATATGATCACTTTAGCGTTACATCTGTGCAGACAGTGACTAACCTAGCTATCAGACAATCTGTTTGAGTCATCTTTAATCTGACCAGCACAAATAGTCTCTGTGATTGTCGTACTGTATGGAAAGTTGTTTATCGTGTTGGGTATATTGACTGTGTGTTGGTTTAATTGGTGTTGAATAAACTGGTGATATTCTGGCCGATGTGTTGGGGCCGAGGCTTTTGAAGGACCCATTGTTTACTATGTTGTTGTTTGTGCTGGTCAGATTAAAGATGACCTAATTTGATTGTCTGATAGCTAGGCTAATCACTGTCTGCACAGATGTAACGCTAAAGTGATCATATTAAAACATAGGGTGCGTTCAAATTGTCATTTTTTCTGAGGAAGGTTCCTAACTGAGTGAAATGACCCAGAAGCATTTAAGTGGCGGCCATGATAAGAGATGTTCGAATTCTCTAAAAGTTAAGGAAGGGTGGGTCAATGCTCCCTTTATAACCTCCTTTAGCACAGGATACACTGGACCATCCTTTACCAAAGGAGATGAGATATGCCGCTCCACAATTACTTGCGGCCGCAACATTTAAAGCGAGTCGCGCATCCGACCGTTCACGGAAATGAACGATGATCGTAAAGTGACACAGATCATGTAAGGGATAAAAAGATAAGAGACATTTATATCAGATGAAGTTTTATTCAACATATTTCATTCACTTAAGAATACTTTGTGCAGTTGTACATTTGTATGCTTAAAACATTATGTGTAAGATATTTACATAAATGTTACAATGAATTTCATACAAACATATTTATGTTGATGTTGATTTCTGATTGGACAGGAAGCTGATGGTTTCACTTTTGTTACTCGTAGCCTTGTAGTCTATATTTATTTGATTTCAATCCCAACCTTGTGGTGATCAGGATTATTTCACCAGTATGAAGGCACAGGGGAAAGTTTTTTAGATGTGTTTTTTGTAGTCCATTATCTGAACATTGTAGTTTCACCACGGCAGACCCACGTCATTAACCTCCGCCGGCCCGTCATATTTAATGACGTGGCCTAGTGGAAATGTGGTCGGATTGTCAGAGCAACGAGATGACCTTTCCTTAAGTCCTTTATGAATTCTCCTAACATCTTTCCTTGACCTCATGATGTTTTCCCCGGGGTTAAGGTAAAGTGGATAGTGAAAGGAGATAGGAGGGACAATTCGAACGCACCCATACCCTTGAATCTACGCTCCTGTGATTGGCTGAATAGGAAGGAGACATCTGATTGGCTACAGACATTTCCCTGCTGAAAAAAATGTATTTGTGAATCTAACCACGACAGGGGAGTCTCAAAAGTCCCACACACAAAAGAAGTGTGGTTCACAAATGACAAACAGTTTGTAAATGCATACTGAACAGTTTTTATATAAATGTAACAAGATACAAATGTGTTTTTTAAATATTTATGTATATTAAATATTTGTGGATTTCTATTACATGTATACAAAACCTTAAATAATAATCACAGTATACAGTGCAAAAGAAATTGTAACTGAACAACTGAAGGATTTAGATTTTCCTCTTTTGTATTTCTAAATCTGCCAAACTTTGGAAGCCTTTTCTCAACTGTGCAACTGTCTTTTGCGTCTTGATAATTTAGCTGTATATTTTTCTTTAACTTCTCTAAAAAATATGCCTTTATGGCCCTAGTTTTGGTGTTGAACAGATATCTCTTGTACTATTTTTCTTTTGACATGAATAAACAACATTTTTGCTAAGTACACATCTCAACTTTACAAAGCCTCCTTAAAGATTTATTATCTTCAGTGTTGCAGTGAAACACAAAGACAAACTACTTTATCTGTATCTACTTTAACTTTAAATCAAGTGAAGGTGATCATTATGGTTCAGGTGGTTAAGCACTATCATTTCCATGTGGATGAAAGGTTGATTTATGACCTTTTGAGGAGTGAGTGCTTTTTGTGGAGAGTTAAAAATCACACCTATTCACTCTGTCATTGTTTTTGTTTAGGATGTCTGGCCTCAGAGGGAGTGGAGATTGAGTCCTTCAGTGCTCCGGCAGACCGCACCGGGGATCTGTGGTACTGTGTGGGGATCTCCTCCCTCCTCCGTGACCTCGGTGCCTTGAAGCCTCTGGTGAAGGATGCTGCACAGCTCACCGTTTAAATACCAGTGGAAAAAGCTACGTGGAGAAATCTCCACATTCTTAAGAGTGTCTAACCTCAATGACCTATCTTGGTCTCTATGTTTACAACTAACAACTTGTTTAGAAGTTGAACTTTTGATAACATTCCAGTGTTTAGATGGTTAACATGCACTTTGTTTGAGTAAATCAAAATGAGATGATTCTGTCATGTGCTGTGTGAAATAATAAAGTACACTAACTCAAACTACTGTAAGAACACTTTTTAAGTTATTTTCAGTTGAGAGTTTTATATTTCCTTTAACAAACTTCACACTTTCATCCTGTCAATAACCAACACAACAGACCTTAAAACTCCCTTTTTTGTTTAAAACGTCATTTAGTTTGGTATCTAAGGCGATTCATTTTTATACTTGGCTTGTCGTTTTTAGTAGTAGCCTATCGTTTTTTTATTAGACATTTCTTTTGACAGGTTATCTCTTTAAGACTGGTTCTTTAAGGTTGTACCTTACTTTAAGTATTTGAAATATTTAACATTACAGTACATTTCATTCAGGGTTTATTTCAATGTGCACCACCATGGGCAACATCATACTTGTATTGCCAAAAATGAACCCAACAGAAATTCTCCTTTCTTGAATATCTTCTCTTTTCTGAATAAAAATAGGCTACTCATAGTCAATCAATCAAACTTTATTTATATAGCACCTTTCAGACAAATTAAATTGCAGTTCAGAGGGCTTTACAAGAGTGCAGAAAAGTTATTGACGAAAAAAGTAGTTTCTAAAATCATTGAGAGACTAATGCACACCAATAAGAATTTAAAAAATATATATAAAAATAAAATATGAAACATAAAAGCAATAAGATATTAAAATTAATACATAGGAGAAGAATATTTAAAATTGTAGTAGGATAAAAAAGACAAAACAATAATGTTAAGATTTGAATTGCAAATACAACTTTCACTGACCAAAAAAAAGCCTTGTTAAAGACTATCCAGATAAGACCTTATCCACCCTATTTTCTTGTTTTATAAATAAATGAAAACCTAATATTTTATGCATCGATTCAGATTTCATGTTCATTTCCTATTAAAAAAAAAAAGTACCATGAGACCAGCTCATGTGGTCTGAGATCTTGTGTAGGCCTATGTATGAATGAATATTGTGCACTGTGCTGGTAATCCTCGTTAGGATTAGGTAAAGCCTTGGCCGTCCTGGAATTGGGTTCAAAATGCCATGGCAACGACAAGAAAAGGGTGAACCATGAATGGGGAACAGTGGCTTCATGTTGTGCTGCACAGAAGGCGATGCTGTTTTGTATAAGATTTGCTTTCTGTTAGCGCCCTCCGTGAATGCCTCACCAGACTTGAGTGTGGATGGAGGTTATATTTAGCGCTAGACCCAGGGAGGAAAAAAGAATCGCGGTGTTGACGGTGATTCCTCTGAATGGTTGAGTGGTTTTGTCAAGGACCTGCTGCAGGAGAGAGGGAGGAGGGGTACGGTCGATGCGCAGGAATACCAAAATAGGACCGAGCTGTGTGAGACTGTCCTGCTGGAGCTAAATTAAGAATCATCTGTTTAGGAGCGTAGCATTCAAAAAGAAGACAGAGCCGAATGTGTGTGTGAACAGCACAGGGCATTCATGGAAACAAGGTTAAAGGTAAACCTTTGCTTGTTTGTTTGTTTGTTTTCGAGCTGATTGAAGCCTTTTCTTTTAAATTAAAGGACACTCACACTGACTTGGGAACGCGACACCTTGATATTGCTTCGTTTTTCCTACAGCAGAGAATTTGAGCACTGACATGTTTTCATTCTTGCAGATACAATGTCACATATCCATGAGATCTACACATACGACTTCTGTGATGGAGACCACACAGCAGAGCTCCTGGATGCGTTCAGGCATTTCTACATGAACGGCCTCTTCACGGACGTGTCTCTACAATGTGGAGAGTCCGGCCAGGTGTTCAACTGTCACAAGGCTCTGCTGTCAGCCCGCAGCTCCTATTTCAAAGTCATGTTCACAGCTGATATGAGGGAGAGGTCCAACAGAGTCATAAAGCTGACTGGGGTGGACTGCATTGTCCTCGGTGCTCTGTTGAACTATGTGTACACGGCTCAGGTGCGCATCACTGAAAGCAACGTGCAAAGCCTGCTGGAGGCTGCAGACCTCCTGCAGTTTCTCTCCGTCAAACAAGCATGTGAGGAGTTCCTCACTCGCCTCCTGGATGTGGGGAACTGCCTGGGCATGCACGCTTTTGCACAGCTGCACCTGTGTCCCGGCCTGGAGAGGGAGGCCCGCAGGGTGACGCTGAGTTGCTTCACAGAGCTTATTCAGCAGGAGGAGTTCCTGGAGCTGGATCATGAGAGGATCAGATCGGTCTTGGTGGCTCAGAGCCTCACTGTGCAGAGGGACGAGGTGTTGATAGATGCTGTAGCCATGTGGGTAACTCATGACTTGGATAACCGTGTGCACCATGCTGCAGACTTGCTGCGCTGCATCCATCTGGACTTGGACGAGATGTACTTTAAGGCTTCTCTAGAGGTGCAGAGACCGAGCCCGCTGACAGGGGAAGGGAAATTAAAAGCATTGATGAATCAGGCGTTAAGGTCCAATGGCAAGGATGTGTCTGCAGGTAGAAAAATGCCATCGAGCATGTACGTCATCGGTGGTTACTACTGGCACCCTCTCTGTGAAGTCCACATTTGGGATCCCATCAGCGACACCTGGGTGCAGGGAAAAGACATGCCCGACCATGCCAGAGAAAGCTACAGCGTCAGTTTACTAGGAGCAAACATCTATGTGACAGGAGGTTACAGGACGAACACTGTGGAGGCTCTGGACACGGTGTCAGTTTATAACTGTGACTACGATGAGTGGACGGAGGGTTGTCCCATGATCACAGCTAGATACTACCACTGCTCTGTGGCTTTGCACGGCTGTGTCTATGCCATCGGAGGCTACAGAGGAGGAGCACCAGAGCAGGAGACAGAATTTTATGATCCTTTGAAGAAGAAGTGGTTCCCTGTGGCAAAACTGATCCAAGGTATGCAAAATATAAAGATATACAGTATATTCAATTCAATTCAATTCAATTTATTTGTATGGGGTCAACTCATAACAAGTGTTATCTCAAGACACTTTACAAAAAGCAGGTAAAATACCTTACTCATTGTCTGTTAACATTATAAAAGAGCAGGTAAAAAGACCTTACTTATTGTTATGTTACAAAAAGCAGGTAAAAGACCTTACTCATTGCTATGTTACAAAAAGCAGGTAAAAGACCTTACTCATTGTTATGTTACAAAGACCCGGCCTATCCATCATGTCCATATATGCATTATTAAGCCAAAGAGTTAGAAAAGCAAAACTCAGGGAGTATATAACTTCATGGCACAATCTTCATCCAGTGTTGCCTAGTTGTCACTGCTTAGATGTTAAAATTTCTACATTTTGAGCCCTTTAAGGTCTTCATGTTTATGCTGGATTAAAAGCTGAGTCTATTCTTGATCTCACATCTGTTGGAGAAGATTAAGTGATTTAATTGAAACATGAACTGCTTCTAAATGTTACATGTAGTAAGATAGTTTTCACTACTGCTAGTTCCTTAGCCTGAATCTGATAATAGCAAACAACATACTGACATCAAAAGTTTTTTTCAAGATTATTTTTAATATGACATCTTGAGAGACAGAAACTGTGGGGAGAAAGAGTGAATGGGCATGCCTTGACAGAGGTTCAAAATAAGACTCCAAACAAACAAACTACAAATCTGTTAAATAATAAGAAACTGTGCGCTTACAGGTTTTCCATATCAACTCTTTAGTGACTGACATTATTATATGTGAGTAATTGATTCATTTCTATGACTTGTTTCCTTTGAAGGTGTTGGAAATGCCACTGCCTGTGTAATGGGAGACAAAATCTATGTAACTGGAGGTCACTATGGATACAGAGGAAACTGCACCTATGAAAAAATCCAGGTCTACAAACCAGATGTGAATGAGTGGAGTATCTTCACAATAAGTCCCCATCCGGGTAAGAAATAAAAAGAAGAAACAGAATGAAAAATATGCAAAAATTCTTGAGTTTTTGACTGTGATTTGTATCATCTCTCTTTTTTCTTTTTCTTCCAGAGTACGGGCTGTGTTCTGTGTCGCTTCACAACAAGCTGTATTTGGTTGGCGGGCAGACGACTATTGCCGACTGCTACGACACAGAGAGTAACGAGTGGAGACCAATATCAGTGATGAAGGAGAGGAGGATGGAGTGTGGGGCTGTGGTGATAAATGACTGTATTTATGTATCAGGAGGTTATTCCTATTCAAAAGGGACTTATCTGCAGAGTATTGAGAAATATGACCCACAGCTGGACTCCTGGGAGGTTGTTGGAACTCTTCCCAGCCCGTCAAGATCACATGGGAGTGTCTGTGTTTTCAGTGTTTAGTGTCAAACCCTTTTCAGAGGTGTCATTTGTGCCAAAAAGGTCAAATATTAACTGTATTATGTCAGGTGCACTATCACCCAATATGAAGTATGTGACCATGTTTTGCACTGGATTACTGTGTTTACAGTGCAGGTCTAACAACACTGTGAACTTAATGAAGAACACGCTCTTCACTTAATACTCAGGGGCTACACGGTTAGCATTTAAGTTAACATTTGATAATTATGTTTAGATTGAAGGAATCACCCAAAAGATCTTGTCTGAGTGCTATTTAAATTCTATTTACATTTACAATGAATCCAATTCAGACTACATGTCCAAATAAAAGTGTTTGAAAATGTTTTTAATTTGTCCACCTTGCCATTATATTGAAATTATTATTACTACCCTCATGATGTGATACCTGCTTAAATATATCAGTGTACCACATAAGGCACATTGCATATAAAGTTTAATCCTACTTTTTGTCAACCATAACTTATGTTTGGTTTAACTTGTGACTGTGAAGTTAATTTAAAGCATGACATACATGATTGGGAGTTTGTTATAACATCTATATTTGGTTTACTATGGGTGACATATAAAATAACAAAGTGTAAGAATAATGACTACAGTTAAATCAAATTAAGCTTTATCAATCGAAGAATAAAACATACAAAACAAATGTAGGAAAGGTGAACTGTTTAGACTGTAAAGGGGAAACAGCTGTGCCTGCATGAATTTAAGTATGACACGGTGTTTCTCATTACATTATTTATCATTTAACATTATCACTGATGTCCTGCATTACAGCGGCACCTTGAGGCTGTGACCAAATCAACACAGATAAACTCGTGCAGGCCGTAGACAGAAGCTGTACAGATTTTCACTGCCGGAGAGCCACAATCGCGTAAGCGTTAATCAATCCCTTTTGGTCCTCGCTGTGCTCCGTAGCACGCAGTTGACTCAACAACGTGCAAAGAGAGTTGAGAGGACTTTTGGTTTGAACAATTTTAACAGCAGAGAGCGGTGAGTCAACTCAGTGTAAGTAAAGTATGTTTATAATGCAGGGTAAAATGGCTTTTACGTTTCTTTAATTACTTTGGAAATGTTCTTTAAACGAGTAATAAATATATATATCAGAGTAGACTTACCGAGCACAACATGCATTTTCCTGTAATGAGGTTAAACAGCGTGCAGCCGACTGAGTGGACATTAAGAAGCTGTTCTTAAATACATCGTATTTCCAGTCTTGCGTTGAATAACAGACGGGTAAAAATGTAATGGCGACTGTTAAGATGGGTGAATTGGTTTTTGACGTGTTTGTGCAGCATGGCCGGTGTAACGTTTCAGCTGCGTTACACTGGAAGCTAAGCTAACAGTTAGCTATCAGGCTAGCATTTAGAGAAGCATGACATCAGGAGAAATGAGAAGTGTTTGCTGTACATATGATTAATTCATTAAAATCTTAAACCTTTTAGTGGGGCAACTAATTCAAGAAATATAATCAGCTGCCCAATTATATTTTTGGGATTTTTTTGTCTTGCTATATAACTGTAAAATAAAAAAGACCCATTACAATGTAATGGGTCTTTTTTTATTTTTTTTATGTGCCTGGGTCAGATGTGACCAAAATGTTTTTTTGTTTAGTGTTTTGCAAAAGTGGAAAAAAATGTACTGTTGCTACCTCAGGTTCTGTTGAATTACACCTTTTTGTTTTTAGGCATTTTTTGATATGCTTGTGTCAGATGTAACCACATTTAAAATAAATAATAATAAAAAATTATTACATTAATATGTGTTGGTTTAAAATTCATCATTAACTGCTGCACAGAAAAAGTCTGGCCCAGCTAAAAAAAAATAAATAATTGGTTTTAAAATCTGGCCCTACTGAATTTGTCATTGAATAGCCCTGCATTACATTAAAATACCCCCATTTCACCCTCTACGGAGTCTCTGCCCATTGCAGGGAGGATATCAGATAAGTTTGCTAAATAGCTTTGGGCATTTACATTTCTAGAAATGGATACAAACATTTGGCCCTGCAGAGAATTGAGCAGATATTATATTGTCACACAGCTGTGTCTTCAATAATAAGGATTATGATTTATGTGCCTCCATTCTTGTAAAGCTATAAGTGCACACAAACCTTACTAAAGCTCCAGATTTTTTTAAGCATTTCAACTTTTGATTGCTGTGTTGATATGAATTTATTATAAGTATTATATGGAAAATCATTGGATTGTAAATATCAAATATAGTATCATAAATATAGTATAGCAAATTGTATATAGATAGATTGTATATATAGAGAGATTATGAGGAACACAGGAAGTTAATTTAATTAATAAATATTAATTATTGAGCTGTGGAAAAGGGGTAGGATTAAATAAGTTTGATACTTCTTCCTACTCCTTTTCAGGCATATCAATTGAATATATGTAATTTGCTTTTTCTTTTTTTGTGAAATAATTTGAACATTGTTTTTTGTTTATTGTATTTTCATGCTTTTCATTTTGTTTTGTATTTTTGATGTTTGATTTTATTTGATATGTGTGAAATAAACTTAATCAATCCAGAAGTTGTTTTCCCTACTTCTAAAATGTGTGAAATACGAAATTAATCTTCCTAATTGTGTATGTTGCCGTTTCCTACACAGAACAGCCATGGCAGAAAATAAAGAGATGTCTCCAATTGAGCTTAAAGTGGCTCAACAAATCGAGGTAATACTCATTTGAAATGCATACTTTGTGAAAGTCAGCTAATTGAAAAACAATGTCTCTAAACATTTCTTTTCATTTCTGCTGTCAGTACTACTTCGGGGATCACAATCTTCCGAGAGACAAGTTTCTCAAAGAACAACTGACACTTGACGACGGCTGGGTCACTTTAGAGACGATGCTGAAGTTCAACAGGTCTGTTTACCTGCTGTAACTGTTCCTACGCATATTTTGGAGCTTTGTGTCATGCATTTATTTATTAATACCTATCCTATTGGTAAGCTGACCAAGTTTATTATCAAAGTTGAGTTCCAAAGAAACAGGAAGCTGGGTTTCTATAACGAAACCAGGGCTAAAACATCTTTATTCTACCTCCAGACTGAAGTCTTTGACCTCTGAAAGCAGCGTCATCGTTGCAGCACTCCAGAAATCAAAGACTGGCCTCTTGGAAATCAGCGAGGACAAGACTAAAGTCAGGAGGGCTCTGGACAAACCCTTACCTGAAGTGAATGATGAATACAAAGATGCACTTAAGCACAAATCTGTGTACATTGTGAGTTAAAATTTCTACTATACTGATTCTTAATTATTTGTTTTGATTATGTCAATCACAGTCTTTTTAATTCACAAGGTAGACCTATCTGAATAAATCATTTGATACAATAATTGAATATGTGAAAACAAATTATTATTTTTACATTTTTTATAATCATATTGTTTATGGCAATAAACAGTTATTTTCCTCCCATTATATAACAGTTTTCAATCTGCATTTGACCACCTTACTGATTGTGTCAGATTGTTGGAAAAGATGGTCAAGTTTCCACCAGGCCTACTGTACAAGTTCTGTACATTACTTCAGTCCTTAGTTTGGTGTTAATTTAGTCTTTTCCTCTTTCAGAAAGGTTTTCCTTTAGAAACCACTCTTGATGAGATCCAGGAGTGGCTGAATGGGAAAGGAACCATAGAGAACATTCTGATGAGGAGAAATTTGCAAAGGCAGTTCAAGGTAATTTTTTAAGACTGTCATTTATACAAATGTATTTTCATTTAACTGTTTAGAGACTTGTTGAACAGTTTCATTTCTTTGCAGGGATCAGTGTTTATCTGTTTTGACACAGAAGAGGCGTCGAAGACGTTCCTTGAACGTGAAGACATCAAAACTTTCAAAGACAATGAGATGCTTGTGCTATCAAGGTAATTTGTGCTGCTTATTGGTTTTAGATTGATCAACAGTGGACACATGATGTGAGACATCAACATTTTCACAACCCTGTTTGTTATAACCATTGCTCTTTTCTTTCAGGGAAGCCTACCATACAAAGAAAGCCGAGGAGAGAAAAAACTCCAAAGCACAGACAAAGGCAAAAGCTAAACAGTGAGTACAAAAGGAATACCTGCTTGGCCTAAAAGCACATTATATAGTGTGGAAAATGACTGACTCCCTTCCCCTCAAAAAATCTTATTCAGGGACAAGGTGCAACAGCAGAAAAATGCAGAAGATAAAGAAATGGTAAGATCTATGTCAAATACTAACGATCTTCTCTCACTGCAATGAACTCCAAGCACATGTTTGTTTGTTTGTTTGGTAGGGTGCACTCTTGGATGAGCAGACTGGTTGCTTGTTGCGGTTCTCAGGAGAGCTTGAAGATGTTTCAAGAGAGGACTTTCATGAGTTATTTTCTGGCCATGGAAAGATAAAGTGGGTTGATTTTACAAGAGGGGCCAAAGAGGTAAGTCAGCTCTCTACCACTTGAGTTTCTACACCAAGTGTAAAGAGATGTTTAGTTAAAATTGTGTTTTTTTTCTCTTGATAAGGGAACGCTCCTTTTCGATGGAAATGCAAAGGAAGCGTTTGATAAGGCCAAAGAGGCAAACGGAGGGGACTTGAAAATCAAGGACAACAGTGTTGAATGGCAGGTGCTCGAGGGAGACGAGGAGAAAGAGGAGCTGAAAAAGATAATCGAAGCTCAACAGGAATCATACAGCAGGATCAAAGGCAGAGGCAAAAAAAAAATCATTTTTTACAGCAAATTGAAAAAAAATATTAATTACATTATCAATGGTTAATTTACTTTATCTACAGAAGTACTGATGCATCTTGTCTGTCTTCTAAAGGTGGCAGAGGAAGATCAGGTGGCAGAGGAAGAGGAGGCCGAAGGGGAAGAGGTGGCAGAGATCAAGGCAGGAGCCAGTACAGGGGCAAGAAGACGAAATTTGACAGTGATGATGATGGTATGTTAAATGTTTACAGCCTTAATTTTTTGATTGACCAAATATTAATTTCCTTTAACACTTCTAATCATTTTGCATGTGCTTCTTCCCCTCCTAAAGAACCTGCAGCCCCAAAGAGAGAACTAGAGGACGCAGATGGTCCTGCAGCAAAGGTTGCCAAAACTGAAAATGGATCTTAATCAAAACATCACACTCATAGTTTCTCTTTTTTTTTTGAAAACCTTTATTATAAACATTGAAAAGACAGAGGGAACTTAATCCATTCCAGTCAAGGTGTCAGGCTGTGGAAAACCGTAAGAAGTCCACCTGAATGTCAACCTAGAGAAGATTTGGCAAAGTGTTTCGTCAGTTTTCAGCCTTTTAAGTCCCTGTATATTGTTGTGCCTCTGACATCCGTTGTGTGACTATTTTTGCTTTCTTAAGATGCTTTTTATTTTAACATATTCAACATAAATCTACTCTTTGACCGTAATATAATTTTGCGTCACCAAATAGTTGGTTTTGTAAGACCATTGATATTTAGAATCAGTTTGCCATTGTGTTTTTTCTTGTAGATTTCACACATTGAGTGATGAGAACTACTTTGCTATTTTTTTAAGTTTGCATATGTGAATAGCAAATAAAATCATTTATAAAAACCAATCAAGGAGCTATCTGAGTGTGGTTTATATAGTACACATGCAGACATTGCTGGAAACAAATCTGTTCCTCATGGTTGCATATTAGCTTACCGATTTCTTCTTGTGGAACTTGTAAGATGCAGGCAGGTCATATCTTAGTTCTGTAAAGATAACACCAAGTCAGTGTTTGATTTATCTGCAGAAGCAAGAGGTTGTGTTATGCTTACCTGCTATTACTTCCATCTTAACCCCCCAGTCATGAGCCTTCTTTTGAATGTGCTGTAATCAGATGAGGAAATGTGTCAGTCACAAACAGAGAGAGGCTCTGATTTACATAATGTGTACTTCACTAAACTTCTCACTTAAATTTACACAAATAACTAAAAATGTGAGAACATTTTTAAATGTCCCTATTGAGATTTGTAGGTACTAAGGGCCTTGAGACTTAACTTGCCTCCAAAGCTTTGTTTGATACTACAGTGCTTAAAATAGGATATGTGGGCAATGAACTTACCTCTCGTGTTGATGTTTTGTGAAGTGAATATACTGCTGTCTTTGCCATTGTTAAAGCAGCTCGCAGGAACTTCATATCCATACCTGGGGGGGGGGAAATCAGTTTAAAACTACACAATTTATAGGGCTACACTTAGTTTAAGAGATGATCTGCTTAACACTCTCCAGTATCCAACTTTGTAAGCACTGTTCCATGTCAAAAATCCAACATTGTTATAAAGATGAGGAAATATGGCAGTAATCTTTCAGATAGCTTTGATTTAACTCACTTTGGACTTGAAAATAACCAAAATGTGGATGTCTCTGTAAACTCCAGTTTTATGGATAATGTGCAAACTTTTCAGTGAATTTTCAGTGAACAGTTATCTACGGAGGATGACAACAAGATGTGCTCATAGCTCCAGAAAAGAGATGGTTGGATCATCTGCAGGATATGTTATTCTTACATCGTCTGATCAAATCTCTATCTTGCCCCGAGATCCTGAATCTGGCATCCAGTTTGAAGAGAACATACCTTTTTGATGTCATAGATATGATTAATTAAATTAATAATTAAGCTTGAACCTTTTTTTTAGACCGCACTTACTGGAGTGGAGTGTGTACTCACCTAGGTTGTGTTTCGTCCCAAACGGTGGGTTCATTATTACTGTGTCAAACTTTTTGGTATACGCCTCAGCCTCCAGACAACAAAGGTCACACTGGACAAGATCCACATTTGTTATCTCAAATTCCTCTGCATTTCTTTTGAATATGTCCAGTGCGTCGCTGTCAATGTCAAAGCCGACGCACAAACTGAGGAAGAGAGAGAGAGAGGAAGAGAGTGTGTGTGTGCGTGTGTGAGAGAGAGGAAGAGAGAGAGTGTGTGTGTGTGTGTGAGAGAGAGAGAGAGAGTGTGTGTGTGTGTGAGAGAGAGAGAGAGAGAGAGTGTGTGTGTGTGTGAGAGAGAGAAGAGAGAGAAGAGAGTGTGTGTGTGTGTGTGAGAGAGAGAGAGAATGGTAGAGAGGAAGAGAGAGTGTGTGTGTGTGAGAGAGAGAGAGTGGGAGAGTTGAAGAGAGAGAAGGCGTCATGTCTCATCTTCTGACATGATTTCAGTGAAATCAGGGAGTTAATAAAATGCGCTCACCCTGCATCCAGCATCGCAGCTCCGATACTAAGGACCCCGCAGCCACATCCCAGATCAGCTACTAATTTCCCCTCAATGTCGTCAAACGTGTTATGGATTGTATAAAGCATGCATGCTGCGGGAGAAAAAAACAGAGTAACTAGTCATAAATCCTGATCAAACCATTCAACTGTCACACTTGATCGCCTCACCTGCAATATGAGGACTAGTTGGATATTGCTCAAGAAGAATTTTTGGCTCTTCAAAAGCATCCACTTGCTGTAGGCAACTCTCTAACTCCTTTAGCTTCATAACTAGCCACCGAGGTGTCCCAAATCTTTGTTCTCCGCAGCGAGACAGAAACAAGAAGTTATTCCAAACAACTGTTTTTCTGCTTAAATCGCTGTGAATGTGTGTTTAGAGCATGGTTGAAACTACTTCCGCTAGTATTTGTGCATCAACCAAAACAATCCGTCACTGACCGCGGGTCGGGTGATAGTAGTTCCCTTCCCCCTTCATTTTTATTTTTTATTTTATATTGCATTTTTTAATGCAGAGTGTGAAATATTTGATGGAATATAAGTTATTGCATAAAAAACTGATTGCATATCGGTCTGAAGATAACAATAAAAATATGATTCACAAATGTATTTCTGATTCACACACAAATATTTATAGTTTTGTATATATGTAATAGAAATCCACAAATGTATAATATACATATACTGTATATTTAAAAAACACATTTGTATCTTGTTACATTTATATAAAAACTGTTAAGTATGCATTTACAAACTGTTTGTTATTTGTTAACCTCACTGCATTTGTGTGTGGGACTTTTGAGACTCCTCTGCCGTGGTTAGATCACAGACTGTAAGGGTTAGATGGGTTAGATTCACAAATGCATTTTTTTCAGCAGGGAAATTACTGTAGCCAATCAGATGTCTCCTTCCTATTCAGCCAATCACAGGAGCGTAGATTCAAACGTATGTTTTAATATGATCACTTTAGCGTTACATCTGTGCAGACAGTGACTAACCTAGCTATCAGACAATCTGTTTGAGTCATCTTTAATCTGACCAGCACAAATAGTCTCTGTGATTGTCATACTGTATGGAAAGTTGTTTATCGTGTTGGGTATATTGACTGTGTGTTGGTTTAATTGGTGTTGAATAAACTGGTGATATTCTGGCCGATGTGTTGGGGCCGAGGCTTTTGAAGGACCCATTGTTTACTATGTTGTTGTTTGTGCTGGTCAGAATAAAGATGATTTATGATGACAGATGTAACGCTAAAGTGATCACATTAAAACATACCCTTGAATCTACGCTACTGTGATTGGCTGAATAGGAAGGAGACATCTGATTGGCTACAGACATTTCTCTGCTGAAAAAAAGCATTTGGGAATCTAACCCATAGACTGTAAATATTATATTAATATGATCTAACCACGGCAGAGGAGTCTCAAAGGTCCCACACACAAATGCAGTGAGGTTCACAAATGACAAACAGTTTGTAAATGCAGACTGAACAGTTTATATATATACATTTGTGAATCCTTTTGTGTGCATTTGTGAATATTGAGACTGATCTAACTCCATAAAATAAAGGGTTACAAATGAGAATTATATTACTTGTCAGTTTTTTTTAACCAACTAAATCTATAGACACATCAGCTCCAGCTTAAACCCCCGCAGCAATGAGTGCATTAAGATCATAGACTGTAAGTATTAAATAATAATAATAATCTTTTTACAGTCTATGATTTAGACTGATTCTTTTAGGTGATCATGATTTTGGATGAAGGGAGCTACCGAGAAACGAGAAAAAAAAACAGCATTTATGTCTGGAAATTCACCAAGTTGGTTAAGCGAGCAAGAAGCATTGATTAATGTCAGAACTGATCATATAAAAATGTTTTGATTTAAATCATAAACTTGGTACATTATTGTACATAGTACTGCCCTTCAAAGGCAAAAGACCTTAACTCGCCAAAAATGACTTTAAAGTCTTTTTGTTGTCCAGCCAAATGAGTTGCAGGCAGACTATTGGAAATATGGCTTCTTAATCTTAGTCTTCTTAATGAGGTTATTAATGTTCATAAAAATCTTTAGCTCAAACATGACCTTTGACCCTTATTTGGAAGTTAAGGTACTCTGCCTTTGCATTGCCTGTACAATAATACGGGGTCATGCCAAGGCAAAAGGCATTAACTTCCATTTGATACTGTATTTCACTTGGTTGCACGGTTAAAATAACACAACCAACACTATTTCTTTGCTACACTTTAGTCAAGCTACTGTGTGTGTCAGAAGTGCTTAATGACAGATATGAAAACAAAGGCATAACACCTTAACTCCACTGCAGTGAAACAGTAACTTCACTTTGATCCGCAGTAAAACAAAGGCAAAGACCCTTAAGTGAAGTTACTGGACTCTGCCTTGGTTTCTTGAGGGCTTTTGGAAGTTAAGGCAAATACAACCTACTATTTTCTTTAAAAAACAACACAATTGACTCAAGATATCTGTCCACATAATAAAGCACATCTATAATGTTCCAAAAAAGACAAAAAATAATTTTTGAAAAAACTGAAGTTACTGCCTTTATCCTTTGTAGGGCAGAGTACACAGTTGGAAGTTCGTAAACAAAAACGACGCAACGGGTTATATCGCGAGAATTCACGAGAACAGGGTAACAAGACAACAAAAATAAATTTGTGGACAAGCCAGAGTGCATGATGGCGGCGTCGCTGCTGCGCCGGGACAAGAAATCTACCGCCGCCCACTTGAAGGCAGACTTAAACCGGACTGATAATAGCACCGGGGTCCGACAACTTCAGGAGCTGCTCGACGTCGTACTAAATCCTGAAAACCCAGCGGCTGACACAGAAGCTCTGGACTGGTGTAAATGTCTGATTGCAGGAGGAGAAGGTTTCGAGGAGTTCTGCAGAACGGTCCGGTCCTATGACAACGCGACCCTGTGCGGGTTGGTCTGGACCGCTAACTTCGTGGCTTATCGATGTCGCACCTGTGGTATCTCCCCGTGTATGTCACTGTGTGCTGAGTGTTTCAATAACGGGGACCACACGGGCCATGATTTCAACATGTTCAGGAGCCAGGCTGGTGGGGCCTGTGACTGTGGAGACAGTAATGTCATGCGAGAGAGTGGGTAAGTCCAAGCTAGCTGCAAGCTAAGCTAAGCTATGCTATCGTTATGGTCATCCAGGTAACGGGTTTGACAGGTATTGGTTAGATGTCACCTAAGTTAATACATTTATCTGATGTGCGTAGTTGGCTTCAGTATCCATAATTCCGTTTGAGATGTTCTTATAAATGACAAATGAAAGCCGTTTTGAATGTTACGATGCTCCTGTCATTTATTAATAGGAATCACTTGACTAAGCACCTCTGCTCCGAGGGTTAGCCTTACATTTTTGAAGTCTGAATTATATTTAATTGCTAAAATAAAGTTGTATTTATTATTATTCAATTCAATTAAAAAAACTTTATTTGTCCCCGGGGGGTAATTCAAAGGCACACAGAGCAGTAAAATAACAACAGTGCAGGTAGATGAAATATTTTAACCTAAATATAAAGTGTCAATTTAAATACAAATTAAAGCTTAAACTTAACTTAAAATACGAAATATAAAAAGAGTAGATATAAGTGGACAGTGATCGGACTAACAGATGTAAACAGAACTATGTGCAGTAAACAAGAAATAAATATATATATATATACACACACACACACAGAGCTATGTGCAGGTAGGCTAGATACTAAATACTAAATGATAAGTTAATAAGGTGCATGGTGAATAATGGAACAACCGAACTAATATATACAATATAGCTGTAAAAGTAAAAATGAGATAAATAAAGTGACCGTAGTGCAATGATGGATAACGTCATGGATGGATTATGTCATTGCTCACAATTTAAGCAATGACAACCACAATTTAATTTCAGTTCCTGATGATAATTTGTCTCTCTAAAACCCTATTGTACGATCATAGTTTACAGAAACTTTTTTTGATCTGTACACAATTTATTGCAACATATCTTGACTGTCAACATGTTGTGATGAGAAATTGTGCAAGTGTCGACCAGTTCTGTTAGCTGGCCAGAGTTTTGAAAACCATAAGCAAGAGATGTGATGGTATTTGTTAAGCTCTGGATCACATTGTGGGTATGGGCAGGTAAAAAAAAGACAGCTTTCAGATTCTTATTTTGGTTGGCAATTTCTTTTTTTCTGTGAAAGGTTTTGCAGACGGCATCGGTTGAGAACAGGGGAGAACATCCCCTCAATACCTCGAGACCTTCTTCTGATGTCTGAGATGGTTCTTCCTCGCTTTATCCTGTGTATCATACAGTATCTGAGAGACGGATACATTGAGCCAGGTAAAACAATTATGAGAACAGTCTTTTCTTAACAAAGAGTATGAGAAGTACTCCATATTGTCACACTGACCTCTATATGTACAGTGTATTTGTCATATGGATCTGTTGTTGCATATCATATGCAAACCAGGTTCTGCTGGGCACGCTGGATACCAGTGTTATACAACTGTTCGCATCCAAAATCACGTGTCTGATGGCTTCTATCTCTAATCTTGCTTTACCAGACACCTCAACTGAGAGAGATCTACAGAAAGTCCTGCAGCAGCTGGAGCCTCAGATCTCCTTCCTGGAGGAGCTAACAAAGATGGGCGGAGCAATGAGGACTGTACTGACAAAGATCTTAACCAATCAGCAGATATTCAAAGACTTGAGCATGGGTAAATACTGAAACTGATGTTGTGTTGTTGCCGATTGTTTGTCTGATATGCAAAAGATGGGTTGAATGTTTTTAATGAAAAGTGACACCTCTGAAGTTTCGAGATTTCATTTTTTTCTTAAGTAATATTTCTAAAATGACTTAAGTCATGTTACTTTACTACATAATTGATGTTATTTATTTACATTTTTTTGGAAATGCATTGCAATTTCTCTATCTACTCACGAGGAGAAGGCAGATTCTACTTCACCTGTAAACATTTGACAACACATGAGACAACAAGGAATGCCTATGCACGGAGCCCATGAAGTCCCCAAAAGTTGTGCTCACAACATAACAACTTGTAGGAACAAGATAAATATGTTGTGCACACAAGATCTTAATTTTTTTCTTTTTTTTCTTTTTTCTTTTTACTTTTTGGGACTTTAGGGACTCCGTATTTATGCCAAAATCACAGGAGGAAAAATTTTGGTCATAAACTGCTCCTTTTGCCAGTTATTACATTTTGGTCATCTTGACATGTCTTTGTAATTGTTAACAATTTCTGTTATGCTTTACTGTTGCAGGCCAAGAGGAGAATTTGTATGCTAAAAAGAACTATGACAAGTATTTATCAGCCTTGAAAAATTCAGGTCTAGTATCTGTGGAAGAGAAGGCTCAAGGAGCTACTGCTGATGTCACTGTCGGTGCAGAAGGAGGTGCAGGAGCAATAGTCCTTTTGGGTAAGATAGAAATTACAATCTCTGTGAATTGAATGATAATTGGTCAGCCGAGCCGTTTAAAACGGCTTTAAAAACAGATTTGAATTCCTGATTGTTCGTCAGGCTATGTGGTAACACATCCAAAGGAAATAAACAATTGGCATTAAAGTATGCACATTTAACTTAATATAAATAAATTCCTTTGAACTTGCTGCTACTACTTTGTCCTACACGTTTTATACACAGCATACTTGAACTTTTCCCAGTCATTACCTAGTATTGATTTGTAGGGTAAGGTGAAAAAAGTTGATTTCCTAACAGCGTAAACCTCAGCAATAGAGTGGTCAAATTTAGCCTCCATGACTTTCAGGGGATTAGAAAGTGTTTCATGGCTTATTTAACATCGTATATTGCAATCTTAACACATTTCAGTTGTGTGCTTCTAAATGTGTTATTACAGTGTCTAAGGATACGACTCATGTCTTTTTGTTGCTTCATGTTTACTTCTTTTTTTGTAGGAGCTGCACCAGGAAGCCCTGTCGAGTCTAATAAAGAGGTATGTACACAATTCTAACATCGAATAAGAAACTGGTTTGAACTCATTTTGATGCAACACTTTTGTGTAGGGACCAAATCGTTTGTCTCTTTTTTTTCCTGAGGAGTAAAAAAAATATTAAATTAATTGATTCTCAATCTCATTTAAACTATCAACACAAAGTCTTTAGCATTTGCCTAACAAGAATAGCCCTGAAGATTCAAGCCAAGGTGAAATGCAAAAAATGAATGTGACCGAAAAAAAAGGCAGCACCTACTTGCAATGAATCCTGTATATGTTGACACTGTCTGCAGGGCTCTGTGAGAAGGAAACCCCAGCTTTTTCTATCAATATGCCACTATGTCAATATGCAATAGACTGAGGACATTTTTACTTCCCTTTGTTAGATTTACCATTTAACAATGATTGAACTCTGCAAGTAAAAAGTTAATGAAAAGTGAATGGTAGGGATTTTCACTTTCTACATGGTGACTTCATACTTACATAAATTAAAGGTTTACCTAATAACTAGGTTAGTTTATTTTATTTTGGACTTTATGGATAGTAGTCCCGTTAGCTGAAATTTGTGTCATTTATTGTTTCCTCTCAGGAAGACCAAGATGCAGGGCTGTCTGTTGGACAGAGGAAGAGGGTTAAGCTGAGCAGCAGTACCAAAGGTAAATGTAAAGAAAATGACATGATGTAGTATGTAACATGCACTCTTGTTCTTATAATGTCCCCTTTCTGCCCCCCAGACCCGTGCATCATTGAATCATTGAAGCATAAATGCTTTCTGGAAGAGGTGCTGTTTTGGACAATAAAATATGAGTTTCCTCAGAAGATGGTCACCTTCTTACTCAACATGTTGCCAGATCAAGATTACAAGGTATCTCTTTCATATCATTATTGATTTGCTGAAATACAAGTCTGCTATAACTATTAAATGGATTTTTTGGTGTTTTGTTATAAAAAGTTCTTTAAAAACTCCCGGATAACTGCAACAATACTAGTGACATGTATTATTTTGTGAGGCCATGGCCAATCTGAGCCGCAGCATCCTAAAATGTCGCCTTAATTGTAATTTGGGCCTGTCCTTTCATGTCTTGCAGATCACTTTTACAAAAACATTTGTTCAGCATTATGCATTCATCATGAAAACACTGATGAAAAGCCATGAGTCAGACACCATGTCCAACCGCATTGTACATATTAGTGTGCAGCTGTTCAGCAACGAGGAACTGGCTCGACATGTGACGGAGGAGTGTCAGCTTCTGGACATCATGGTCACTGTCCTGCTTTACATGATGGAGAGTTGCCTTATTAAAAGTGAACTTCAGGGTAAGTCTCTGATGATTTAGTTTAAAACACCTCATCACAACCCAGTACTTAAAAGAATGAAATTTTAATGGCAGGATGTTATTTTCTGACACTGTATTTTAGAAGAGATTGCTTACATTACAGTCTGAATTATGAAGTTTTTTTAGCTGAATGCATGGTGATGCTGCTGCTTCAACTACCTGAAATACAGGTACAAAGATGAAGCCTAAATCACATAACTTCAAAAGTCAAATTGGATCCACCTCCTTGTTATGAGGCATATATAATATTATACTAGGATGTCATTATGTTAATCTTGTTGGGTCATCATTCGCTCTAAATACAGAAACCATCAACCTAAATTATAATGGTAAATAAAAACATGCACTGCATGCAACGTAGCTACATAGCTGTTTATTCAGCTTTTGAAATCCTTCTCCATGAAGAAAAGAAACATGACGTTTCATCCTCCTGGCCTCTCTCACTGTGTGGGCTCTGAGCAGAATAAGCTTGAATTTTTAATTTTTGACTGCAATCCTTTTGTATCTGCAGTAAGCTGTCAGGCTGTGTGACTTGTTAATGCATTGTTATTTCCCCAATTTTCTTTCATGTTTTGGCTTAATATCTGAATAAGGAATTGAATCTCTTGTATCATTTTTTTCCCTTTTAGATGAAGAGAACAGTCGCCACGTTGTGGTGAACTGCAGTGAGGCTCTGTTAAAGAACAACACCTACTGGCCATTAGTTAGTGATTTTATTAACATCCTCTCACACCAAAGTGTAGCAAAAAAGTTCCTGGAAGACCATTCCTTGTTGATGCTATGGATGAGCTTTGTGTCATTTTTTCAAGGTGAGACATTATTTAACTGCACATAAAGAATCTTTTTTTACGCATACATTCCATTGTGCTGCATGTTACGGCCTCCTTAACCAAAATAATTACCAATAAACAAGACACTGGCCAAAAAAGAACATGACGGGAAGGTGCTGTGCCAAACACGCAATAGACTGTCACTCATAGCAGAACTGAAAGCTCCTCATCACAAGCTGCCCAGAAAGTGTGGGCACCAGCTCCTCTATATCCAGCACTTTCTGTGCAGCAGTCAGGGGAATGGAGGGAGAACCAGGGAGACAGGCAACACCTCAATACCACAACATCCAAAACATGTAAAAAAACAGCACTTAATTGAGATGATAGCTGCTGCTTGTGCAGATTTTCAGTCTGACTTGACATCAACATTATGCTTAGTCAGACCTCTTCTTTCCTCTCCTGATTATACCGTCTCATAGAAAAAGTGAGTAAGGTAGTGTATGACTGAATTAGAGTTGTGGTTAAGTATTGCTCATCTGCCATGTGTACTCTACCACAACTCTAAAAATAACCCCCCCCCCCTTCACAGTGGGCTGGAGTATCCTCTTGCTGATGTCATGTGCACAGTGTCACTATTACATTGTATACTGCACAGCTCTTGCTTTGAATGTTTATATTTGATTTGGACTGAAGTGGCTTTCATCAGTCACATGAAGCAGAAGTAGAATAGTAATGCTTGTGTTATGCCAACTAACAGTTGTAATAAGTGCACAGACATTGATTTTTTATTATTATGTTTTTAAAAGGGACTCCTGTCTTTGTGATTTCTTATTCTTTTTAAAAATGTATGATCACAGGAGCATAAAGAAGCCCTGTAACATGTGTTGAGTTCTGACCTTACACACTTTCCTGCTGGGATAGGTATGAACCTGAATAAGCGGGAGTTGAATGAGCATGTGGAATTCGAGTCTCAGACATACTATGCAGCATTTGCAGCAGAGCTGGAGGCCTGTGCACAGCCAATGTGGGGTCTCCTGACACACTGCAAAGTCAAAGTAAGTACTCTTTAAACTTGGACTCCTCACACACCCCTTTGCTTTCCTGATATTCATAAAGAATGAATCATACATGCATCTCAAGCGCCTTGTGCTGTATGCAGTATAACTCTGTGTGAATTAATATCATGTGGTGTTGTCTGTAATAGGAGACACAGGAGTATACAAAAACTGTTGTACGCTACTGCTTGGAGACCCTGCAGATCTGGTTCGATGCCATTGGCTTTATTGATGAGGTAACCCTTAATTATAAACTTACTGTCTTTGCCAGCAAGCTCTCTCCTCCCATCATTTCTCATAGCTCTTGTATTGTTGTTGTTTTTTAGCCTGCTCCAAATCAAGTGACTTTTCACCTCCCACTGCACCGCTACTATGCCATGTTCCTCAGTAAGGTATGTCAGGCGCTCTTATCTCTTTAAGACATGACTCTGTATTGAATGATTGGGTTTTTATATAGTCTCTCTTCATTCCTTTTAATTTAAAACTCTTAAGGCTGTAAAGTGCCAAGGCCTGGACCTGGACAGCCTCCTTCCAGACCAAGAGATGCTTATGAAGATCATGGTGCATCCACTCCAAATCCAGGTAACTCTCATCTGACACAACAGCACATATGCTTTGGATTCATGTATTCATCTCCTTTATGTCTATAGCCTCTTTTTGAATATGTCTTTGCTGTGTATGGCTGTAGGCATCCTTGTCTGAGATCCACAGCAACATGTGGGTCAGGAACGGCTTGCAGATCAAAGGACAGGCAATGACCTATGTGCAGTCACACTTCTGTAACTCCATGATTGACCCAGATGTCTTTCTGCTCCAGGTTTGTAGACTGTTCTAGAAGTTATTGCTCATTTGATGTAGCTGCTTGATCAAATATAGTAATTTATTCATTTTATAGGTTTGTGCATCAAGACTAGATCCTGACTACTTTATCTCAAGTGTCTTTGAGAGGTAAGCTCTAAATCCTTCACATGCGTTTAAACAAGTTTTCCTAATTTTAATAAAACACACATTAGATTGTTATCATCTTCTTCCCTCTCGCAGGTTCAAAGTGGTTGACTTGTTGACCATGGCGTCTCAGCATCAGAATGCTGTTTTAGACTCTGAGCAGGAGAGGCCGATGCTTGAAGGAGCACTCACCTTCCTGGTCATATTGACGAGCCTTCGCATTCATTTGGGTAAGCTGTTCAGAGGAGGCGCACATTGTACAAGGAGTAAACCGCCTACACTATAAAGGAATCCAGTCAGGTTACATTTCAATGACCCTTGTATTCATTCATGTTTTCACACATTTAGAAACATACTCCTAACGTTAAAAGTTTCTCTTTGCTACAGCAAAAGTTTCTCTTTGCTTTTTCTCACTGAAACTTAAAATGAATTATTCCAAATCAAATTACAAAAAGGAGTAATAAGATGATTTTTGTAAGTGAATGTTTTGTGAACATTATGTTTAGGGTATGTTTTTTAATTGTATTATTTAAAATAGAAAATATTGGGGTTTTTGTGCAGCTACTGGAATAGCAAGAATTATTTGTCGCTTTTTTTTCATGTCAAATTAAGTCAGATGTATCGTTATTAATGAGTTCTTCGGGGTTAAGAACATTTGAAGTACTCTTAATGATCTGGACTGTTAGTATATATTACTGACAGTTGGCTTATTGTGATGACAGTCAGACCTGTCCAGTTTCATCATAAAGCACATATTACTAAAGGCCTTTGTTCTCAGATGCCATGTTGGCATTTCCATAGATGGCTACATTCCAGATTGTTTCTGTTTTTATGATGCCTCTGATATTTGTTTGCTGCTCACTGTCACAGCTTGAATACATTAGAACCACAGTTAATCATTACATGTGCTTTTCCTATCATGAGCAACAAGCAAAATCATCAGGCTGATTTTTCATTTTGGTGTATTATCATTTTTGAAAGGGCGACGGGGAAAAAATGCAGTATGGGGACATTTTTAAGATTCACCTCCACACTTATGAAACACCACTGCTGGTTGAAGATTAGATTTAAAGTAAAGTATCTCGCTAGTACTGGAGAAAAATACCTGCTACAACAAACTGTATTAACACTGACACTGTTCTCCGTGTTTGCTGCACAGTGCGCTCTATGATGCATTAAAGCAAAGCGCTTCATTATTAGTGTTTGTTAAAATGACTCTACATATCTTACATAGAAAAACGTTATTGTGGCAGACAGACTTTATTTGCTAAAAGAAACAACAATATATTCACTTAAACCCCACGGTCTTCATTCTGAGTTCTGCTCATTGGTATGTTATGTAGGGCAGTAGTCTGTATCAGTTGGTGTTTACGTTCTACTTCTTATTCTCACTAACAGGGATGACGGATGACGAGATCCTTCGGGCTGAGATGGTATCGCAACTGTGTATGAATGACCGTACACACAGCGCGCTGTTAGACCTTGTATCCTTCAACAACAAAACAAGTGCATTAAAGAGCAGTTACACTCTGAGCCATGAAATGTTTTCTTAAACAGTGCCTTCTTAGATTCCTGAGAACCCCAACCCAAAGAGTGGCATTGTGCCAGGGAGTTGTAGTTTTGAGAAGATGCTGTCTGATGTGGCGGACTTCAAGGCACCAGTGTTTGAGCCCGGAGGCTCCATGCAGCAGGGCATGTATACACCTAAACGTAAGGCGACCATTAAACCCAACAACATACTAGATCATGTAACCTTTTTAAAACGTGCAGTAGGAGACGTCAAATAATTAGCAGGTTATACTCATGCAGAGTTTGTACAAAGCTGCAAGTTTTTTTTTAACTTGTAGTCAAAAAAAAAAGTTGTGTCTGTCAAGTGTCAATGTTAGTTATTAGTTATCAAGAACACTGTTTGTCAAGGGATCTGCACAATGGGGTAGTGTATGAGAGGTGCAGTCTGCTGCCATCTATTGGCAAATAGTAGTACTAGAAGAAACAAGGACTGCATGTGTATGGACTTTAAGAATGCGGGAAATAAAATCTAAGAATTAAGAGATTTAATTGTTACATTACACCATGGTGTATTTTTTACTTTATTATAAAACATAACACAATCAAGTATCTTCTCCAAATCTACAGTATTTTTTCTATTACGGCTGTGCAACAATAAAATATGAAATATTAATACTTATTCTAGTAATTCTTGATGAGGTTCTCTGTTAATTCAATAGTGCACATAATAGAAACTAAATGCTTAATTGTCTACTTGTTCAATGTGTCTCTCACATAACCTTTAGGGATGGAATAGTCAGAATGTACATATATTCAGACCACACTTTATACTTACAATTTAAAATAGAAATGAGTAAAACTGGTGAAGATGAAGCCTAAATGTCTTTGTGTTGAGTTTGAGATGTATATCATAAACTGACCACTTGGGGGCAACCTTGGACCACATAAAGAAGGAGTTGATGAATCAATATGTCTGTGTACCAAAGATTACTAAACGTTTCTCTGTCTTTATTCCAAAAGCTGAGGTGTGGGAGAAGGAGTTTGACCCCATCATGGTCGTCCTCAGAACAGTTTACCGTCGCGACGTGCAGTCGGCCATGGACAGATACTCGGCATTGTAAGTTAATACTGTTGCAGTAATGTACTGAAGTAAATGTATTTCCCTAAATCATTTATTTTTGAGGAAGTCTTAACTGACCAATCCAACCTGAATCACACTTCGTTCAGTGCCTCAGGCTCCCCTCTCTCACATGCACATTAAAGCAAATGAAAAGAAAGGTCATGTCAACCGAGCGCCCAAGTCAGTTCCAATTAGATAGCTGTCGAGAAAAATCAATATTTCAGTCTAAATTGTTTTAGAATCAAGGAAATCTTTGTTGTTAGATTGTGTTACAGACGTCTCCTAACACGATGTGTCAGGTGGATGGGGAAGGAGATACTCCTGGGTTGATTTTCTCAAAGGGTCGCTTGAACCTTTTAATACAAGGAAAGGGTGCATCACTGAGTGCTTTAAACAGTGGTTTTGAAGATAACCTGTTTATAATGGGACTTTGTGATTGAAAGTATGAATGGATCAGTGATGCAGGTGATTGCACTTCTTTCACATGCGCCACGTGCTTATCGAGGGAGGTTAAGGTGTTTGAAACCAGATGAAACTGAGCCATGTTTCTCCTTGAAACATATCGAAGCTGCCATTGCCCCCTTCAGAGTGTGACAGAGCCTCATGTTGTTCATTCACACTGTTTGAAGATGATGGATTGCCTGTCAGCCTGGATTTATATAACAATGGTCCCATCATCACTAATAGAGTGAGCGACTGTGCTGCCCATCGGCTGTTCTGTTGCACAGACTAAAAACAATTTGTGCAGTGAATTAATCCTGAACACTGTAAGGTGTCACTCCCTTGTAATCTTATTTTTATTTCATTTTGCTTTCTGTAAAGCACTTGTCTTTGTAACCTTTTTTTTTTTTTTTAAACAGTTTGATTTTCTTACTTTCCTGTTATAGTCTTAAACAGTCTGGTATCCACACTGGAAACCCGTGGCCACCATACAAGGAGAGGACTCCTCTGCACCCTTGTTACAAAGGTCTAATCAAGCTGCTGCACTGCAAGACGCTGCACATCGTGATATTCACTCTCCTCTACAAGGTGAGTCTTAGTTTCAATAACATTTCATCTGGTGTAATACAGCGCTGCTATGCATCTCAATTTGGTCCTTGGGCTAAATTGAAATTACCATATATAATTGGTACATAAATATGAATTGGTCAATCAATTGGTGCTGACAAGTTGCAAGCTTTTTTGTACAATACAAGACTGATGAAATGCAAATAAGCAGAAAATGATTAGGTAACGCAAGACCATTTAAACGGTTTGATGATAAACAAAAGCTGAAAATGTCTTCAATGTAATTGTTTAATATTTTCTAGATATGGATGGATCATCAGAATATGTCCGAACATGTGCTGTGCATGGTGCTGTACCTGATCGAGCTAGGCTTGGACAACCAGGTTCAAGAAAACAAGGAGGATGAGGTCAGATATATTTGTTTGAGTTACTACCACTCTCCTTACTGTTTAGACTTCTGATGTCCACCAGAATCTTACAGGATCATATTCTTCTAGGAGCCTTGCATTGAGGAGCACTGCCATGACAGCTGGTTCCCCGGCACTAACCTGCTCTCCAACCTACACCACGTCATCAACTTTGTGAGGGTTCGTGTTCCTGAGACGGCTCCTGAGGTGAAGAGAGAGGCCCCTCCAAGCACCAGCACTGAGGCCTCTTCGTATGGACAGGTAAAAAAGAAACTACCAGCCGTTGTCTTTTTCCTTGGGATCACAGTCATCTTTTAGCAGAGTTTTTAACACTAATGATTTTGCATCCTGCCAGTATAAAATGGTGAATTTAAACTACTGAGGTTGAAAAGTGCACATCCGAATGCCCAACAACCAGATATTTTCCTGAGGAGAAGACAAGTTAAAGACCAATGTTTATTGGCCTTTACTTGACAGGAGTCCGAAAACACACTCCAATGTCAATACTGCGGGTATTCTGGAAGGATGACAACACTCGATATGCATAAAGCATGCCCGGCTTGTTTTACTGTCAGTTTAGTTTCTCTTTGTCATCCAGTGGAGCAGCACTGGGCGGTCAGGCTTGGTTTTCTCTTCTTCATTTTGGTTACAGAAAATGCTACATGATGCTTTTGCTGCCATATAAAGACGGTTCCAACATTTCAAATACCTTGTTTAAAAGCAGGATCGTTAACATAGAATCAAAACACACTTTAGATTTAGTGGTCGTATCTAAATTGATATGGTTCTGTTGTTTCGCTTACAAAAGCATGATACCTGTGAAAAGATCAAAAGAAACTTGAAAATCAAACTTCCCATGACACTTCTAGCAGAGGTATATTTGATTTGCATAATTGTGTTGCTTTAAAAACAACCAGCTAGAGAAAGGAGTCGTCAAGGATAAGTTACCATTAGTGCTAAATGCAGGGCTGGCTCGAGGCATTGGTGATACAGTTGTTCACCTAAGGTTAGGGGGCACTGGTGGTGTTAACCCTTGAATGTAGCCCTGAATTTACAAATGTAAACCGGCTGTCAGACTCGTCAACTCCTCTTCTTCAGCGTCACTGATTCAGGCCCACTCGCTTATCCAATCTCTCACCACGCACTTCACTACTTTAGCAGGAGGACAGATATCGGAGTATTTCGATCCTGGTAGGAAAAGACAAGTCAGTCTCCACTAATTGTTCCAAAACTAAGCCAAGTGTAAGAAGTAAGTAGTAGAACATAAGTTTTAAGAAAGCATCTCATTGGACACCAAATAAGTATAAGCCCTAAAGTGTTGAAAACAGTTTAAAGATTAATAAAAAATAGTTTAAAATGTTTTTTGTCTTTGTCATTGTTGGCAAGCTGCTGCTGTATAAATGACGAGTGCAATGTAAATGTATTTTGATTTTATGGGACTCTTTACTGGCCAACATTAAATATCTCATAACTATCGGATACATTTCATGATATTTGGTGAAGGTGTTTGTGGTCTCCAGCGGATAGATCCTCATAACTTTGTTGCTTTCATGATTTACCATCATGTACCAAGCATGCTTTCATGAACGCACAAAAACACAGACGTTGTTTTTCACATTTTCTTTGAGCGTTACTCTGACAGTTTATTTATAATTTTTTTTTTTTTTTTTTTTTGCTGTTTTCAGTTCCCTCATGCTTCTCTTTCATATCATCATTATTTGTGTTCATTTTGCTGTACCTGCTCCACAGAACTCGAGGCGTTTAACAGGAAATTGGAGAGAGGTAGTTATCTACATCATTTCTTTGGAACAAGCTGATGACTTTGATGCCACTAGCAGCTTCGTGTGCGTGTGCGTGTGTGTGTGCGTGTGTGTGTGCGTGTGTGTGTGCGTGCGTGTGTGCGTGTGTGTGTGCGTGCGTGTGTGTGCGTGTGTGCGTGCGTGCGTGCGTGCGTGCGTGTGTGTGTGTGTCCTCCTTCTTGACTGCTGAAACTAATTACATGTGTAATGCAGGTTTCGGAAAATGCTTTTTAACCGCATGTCAACATGATTGATGTTGCCTAGAGTGGACTATTTGATGAATGTTTATTTAACAGTGCCGCTCAGGTCCACTCTGTCAGGTCAGGTCATGGCAATCTTTCAGATGTCTTTTCTGCTTTAACATTGGGATGATTTGAATTTTGTGCAGGAATACGGTTGTTCAGAGTGCTTTCAGTGAAGGTGTTTGTGAAACGTCAGCTGAAAGTTTGAACTGCTATTACCTTGTATTGTGCCTGCCTCACCATGATGATGAAGCACCTCTCCAATCCATCAAAACCATTTAGACTATAGGTGATGCATTTTTAGGAGATGATGCTGGGGCTTAAATATCTGACAAAACACCCATTTGCTTCTGGAATTTGCAAAAATGTTGGCCACGTGGGGTTTTGTCTCTCCTATCAGCACAGATGTTTTTCTAACATGATGTGGTGTTGTTTGCTGTGATAATGTTTGTTTGTTTTTGACATTTTTTGTATGATGTGTGTGCATATCGTGCAACACTAAGAAGTGGGCTCACACAAATCATAACTAGATGTTTTATTAAAAATGTGTTCTTTCTGTTTCATGTTTTCCTAGAACCTGCGTGAAGCTCAGGTGTTCAGCCTCGTGGCTGAGCGCAGGAGGAAGTTCCAGGAGATAATCAACCGCAGCAGCACTGAGGCCTCCCCGGTTGTCAGGCCCAAGAGCTCCTCCACACGCTGGGTCCCACCAGGAACACCACCTCAGCTGGTGACTGAGATCCTGGAGATCCGGGAGAGCATGCTGTCCCTCCTCATCAAGCTCCACCAGAAGTTGTCGTCCAAGCAGAACTCCCTGTCTCCATCATGGCTGGAGGACATGGACACGAGTCATCACGCCCATGGTGATGGCATTACAGCCATTGAGCGCATCCTCACCAAGGCGGCCACACGCAGCTGCCAAATCAAGCGTAGCATCCAGGACATTTGTGGGAAGGTTTGTCCTCCTGTTCCACCGAAGAAGAACAGTCCCACAGACAAGAAAGCCATGGATAAAGAAGAGAGGTAACACTTCACATATTCACCCCATGAATTTGCACACCTCATTGCTCATTATTTATATATATATATATATATATATATATATATATATATATACACACACACACAAAGGTTGTGCATTTATATTATGTGCATGCAACTGTCCTTAAAGGAAGTTATGTTATCATTTGTTGTTGATTGGTTATTGCTATCCAATTGCATCAACAGCCCCGATGCTTAGTCTATATGGACAAAGGTTGTATATAATATCAAGCCACACTTTTTTCTTTATAAATAAACACAAATGCAAAATGTTACAGTCAAGTATAGTGCAAATAACAGGAAGCACCAATTCTGTGTTATCCTCAATGATATATTTTAAACAGCTGAAGTCACTGTTCAGCAAAAAGCATCTACAAGGGAAGTGTTCAGGTTTATCAATCATGTTATTGAGAGGTGGTGAGAAACAATTTCACTCTAAAACATGCTGACAAAACACAAGTAGATCTAACTACTTCTTTATTAAATTGTTTTTTTTACCACCCTTTTCTTAAAAAAAATATCTTTGGACTTCTATGGAAATGGGGTCTCTTGGCTGTTTAAGAGAAATCACTGAAACTTGGTTGGTTTTTGGCTTTTCACCTCACATTCACTCACTAGTCCGTATCTCCCACTCCCCTCCTCTAATGATGATGGAACAGGCTATAACCGTTTAATAATTACCTGCTTTTGGGGTTGGCTTCACCCCACAGACTAAGGTAAAGGTAGAATATCTCGAATTTGCACGAACCAGCGCTGTTTCCAAGGCAACCGTCAGGCAGCAGTGCAGTTGGTAGCAGCGAGAGTAGGGAAGCTGCCGTCCATTCCTCATGCTGGTTGTCTGCAACCCTGAAGCCATCAGTGAAGATTATTGAGCTGTGACGCTCCTGTCAGTATTTGTTTATGTCCTCTTATTAGGAACTTAATTTACAGTCAGCTCTCGCCCGGCATGTCTGCAGAGCGGCTCAAACCACCATGTTAGTTAAATGATTAACCCCTCAAACTTTACAACACAGCCATGTTGAAATTAGCCGTGTGTATAGCTTTATAGATTCTGCTGCACATGCTGTGTGTGATCAAGGGGAAACATGCCCATTATCCAGGATCATGTGCCTTGATGAAGGCATCTGTCACTATGTGATAAGACAATAAAGGTTTTTGAATCTTGAATCTTGAAGTAGACGTGCAATGGTTAATGCACTTAAATGGAGAAAGTGATTGACAACAGGCTTCTGATACGTTGAAGTGTATGAAGTCCCTTTTTTCGTTTTAGAATTACAATATTTTAAGTACTCATGCAGTTACTATTGGTTTGGTTTTGATATCAAGTTAAAAGTGGTTGGTTGTTTCAGTAAAACAACTTTTCTTGTTCTTTCTTTCAGACGTCAGAGGGCTAGAGAGAGGCAACAGAAGCTGCTGGCTGAATTTGCCTCCAGGCAGAAGAGTTTCATGGAAACAGCCATGGATGTTGGTAAGAAAAGTCCGGCCCATGTTTTTATTTTGCCAACTTGTTGTCTTTGTTGTAAAACTTTAATATAATAGCGCATCATTCACAGCAGCTGCTTTCAAAATTCTTATCGTTGCAGAATGCTCTGTAAAAGCAGAAGCATTAGTGGGACTTATGAGCATGCAATCTTCCATGCTCAGGCATACTTGTACTACCATAGTGGTAAGCTCAGTATTCAACCTGTAGAATGAATGCTCTCAGCCAAACATGTGAGCCACACTGAATGAATAGTTCTAAATATTAACACTAACACGTTTGAGGAGTTCACCTAAACTTTTTGGTTATATTTATATCTGTAGCAGTTTAATTCAGTATTCTATAGTTCTCTGTCGATCCCTTTCTTTCTTTACATATTTTAATAAGTTTTGTATTGGTAAAGAGTAGGGCTGGGAAACTGTGATTGATCACGATTAATCGCATTGTTATACGCAAAATCCAATAATGAATTCAAAAGTAGTGTATGTACTTCTCAACTTAAACAACGTAATCAAAGCAAATAAATACAAAACTAAAGCTTATTGCCACTGCAAGGGTATAATGTCATCCTGTTTGTTATATTAAAAAAACTGCCCAGAAAGGTTTTAGGCTAAGAGGTATAATGAAAATGTCGGGACGCCATTTTTAAAGTGGGGGAGAGTGTGACAGGTCAATTGAGAACATTGATGTTTATTGTTTGGTTATCGGGGACCCCACAAACACATTTTTGTTGTACTTGTCATTTTGAAATTCTTTAGTTTATAATCGTTTTGAATTCATCTTCAGAGTTGCTAATGTTAATGTATTTTTCTGAACTGCAACATTATTCAAGCAGTTGATGTTGACATGTTATTAATTAGATACGCTGCATAATCTACACCACAAGGTGGAGTCGGTGAGTGACAGTGACATGCAGGAGTTCAGAAAAGAAGAGTGGTTGTTGTGATGCTCCGGAGTTAGCAAGAAAGCTGTAGTTATTATTGAGCAGCTGAAGAGACTCGTAGGCAGAGTGAATGAAGGTACTGGGTCTTTGTTAAATGCTTAAATAAAGTCAAGACAAGTCAAACGACCTTTCAACGTCCGCCTGAGTTTCTGGCTGCAACATATTTTGGAGTACTTATCAAGTACTCCGGTGATAAGAAAATTTTACTTCTCAGTGGTTACAAATAACTTTGGCTCTGTCGACTGCGCCGTCTGGAAGAACTTTAAAATGAAAATGGCCATGTAAAAGTTCTGTACCCTTCTCCATACTTGATTATCCGCCAATTATTTTCTGGCTGTTTCCTGAGTGCCACAGCAGTAAGCAACATACTAGGCTCGCTCCCGATGGAATTTTACAAAATAAAAGTCAGTGAGCAACAGACTTTTACAATAAGAAAATAAATAATAAAAACTGCGTTAATGCGAGATAAAATAATTGTCGGTGATGATTAATTCATGAGTTAACGCGAAAATAATGCGTTAACGTGCCCAGCCCTAGTAAAGAGTAAAATGTACTGTTCTGGATATTTATGTCATCAGCACAGGTTAAGTTGACAACACTGTATTGTGCACAGCTGCAGCTCTGGTAGAATGTGCTCATCAAACTAGTTTCACATGGCCTTATAAAACCACAAAAACACTTTTAGATTGAAGGTCATTTTGCTACAGTGGCCCTTATAGAACGGCGCTGTTGGCTGAAATAAACCCATCATTGCTTTGCCTTTACACTCGGGCAAGGTGACATCTGGCCAAGCCCTAGCTCGTGGTCTCTGTAGGCCTGTTAGGAGAACTTGAGAGGAGAGGGCTCCTTTGGGAGTGTGGGTGGCTGCAGGGCACAGAGGATCAAAGCTCTAATAGTGGGCCGGACTCTCAGGGCCCACCCTGACACAGCATGGTTAGCGAATGAATAATGGCAGCTGTGAACAGACGGGCCATTTTAGCAGGACTGTATGCTGACCCTTTTCTATACACTTCATGCAGAAAATTAAGTTACTTTACTTCAAGCTCACTGCTGGCTTTACGTCACCTGTATAAGAGTAGGATTATAATCGGATGGGAGAATTTCTATTTAAATCCAGGGAATTCAATGAAGGCCATTTCTAGATATCTGGCCTGCAATAAGGCTTGCATTAGGGTGGCAGTATTTGAAAGAGAATAAAAATAAAACCCCCATATGTGCAATTTGTGCATACTATACTTCAAGGGAGGCTTTACAAATGAATGTGTAGGAAGCATACTTCAGAAACAATAACCTTTTGCTTGTCATTGTGTATTTTCCTTTTGACACAGTGTTTATGCGCATGCGCACACAGTGTTGGTTATGTAGTGGATGAGCCCGGGGCTAAAGCCGTGGTGTTGACATCTACAGTAATACATCCTTCATTTCCCCAGGAACACACTGACCTCTCTTGAGAACAAATCTCTCCAAAAAGCAATGAATCAATTTCCAACACAGCTTGACATTTCTGCACAACATCTACTGCTCAAATTAAACACAGTTTTTAACATTTAAAACTAATCTTCCAACAGTAATTGACCTCTAGTGCTCTGCCAGTCATGCAGATAGGGAAGGCAGAGAATTATTTTCGTCCTTTGCCAGTCTCATTCCTGATTGCAATCAATTTCGCTTTGAACATCAGAACTTATGGAGCCATCCATCTTTGTCAAAACATGAAAAATTATTTCAGTTGTCTTGATGGAGTATACATATTTTCAGATTTTTTTTTTTTTTATTGATAATTGGAGAGTTTTTTCTAGAATGAATTCTGCCATTACAAGCCTGGACAGCTGCTATCAAGAGCCTGGTAAATGCCTCAGTCTGTGTGAAAAAAGCTTCACTATCACATCTAGACAGGTCATCATGATCCCATTGCCACCAGTGGCCAAGGTTGTGAGTTCAAGGGCATTATGCTGCATTCAAGAGACTTTCAAGTTCTTTTTACAGTTCTGCTGCAAATGCTCAGACCTGACTCATTGCTTTGCATCAATTTATAATCAGAAATAATTATTGGCCTATTCCTGTGTATGCCATTGTTATTATTTAGGAGCTGGACAGTTATTGCACTTATATACTTTCAACTTTTATTGAGATTTCCTTCTTTTTTAATACTAGAATCCCCTGAAACAGAGGCTGCCATGGACCTGGGAGCGTCTGAAGTGATGGAGTCTGAGGTTCTTTATGACTGTGTAATCTGTGGCCAGAGTGGACCTTCCACTGAGGACAGACCCACCGGCCTCGTAGTTCTCCTCCAAGCATCCTCCGGTACTACATACCCCATCAACCTCCCTTTTCCATTTTCAGACACTAACATTAATAGCATACACAGATTCATGGATTGTTTTGGATCCTTTGTACAATTTGAACAACCAGACCTGACTTATTGCTTTTTAAATCTAAACATTTATTTACATTATTATTATTATTATTATAATTTCTATTATGTGTATCAAATTCGAGTCGCTACATCTGACTTTAAATAGGTGGTTTAATTGGCACATTTATCATTCTCTGTTTTTTATTTAAGAGGACAGAGGAGTATTACTTTCATGTAAGTCAATTAGTTGTTTAATTAGTGATTAGTCACTCTGTAAAGGGTTAAAAAGACTGACAAAATTGACCACGAGTATGACATCTCTTAAAATCTACCGACAATGACCAACAGTGCTTTGTTGAAATATCTGTAAGTTCTAGATGGTAAGTGGTACCCTAAATCATTTGAAGCTGTCACCTGGGGAGTTGGGAATTTTTGCAGGGAATTATTTATGACTATGCATTCTTAATATTCTTAAAAGACGATAGTGTATGTGTTACTTGTATCCCTGTTCCAACTGACAGAAATCACAATCTCAGACCTTTTTTTTTAGAAATACTGTGTAAGTTAGGCAGCCTTATGACATCATAACTCATCTCTGACTTTTACAATTAACTTTTAGTGCTCGGGCATCGCTGCAAAAGCAAAGAGGCAAAGAATCTACCAACAACTGATGACGAGCACATCTACGCTGCGGACACTTGTGGAGTGGCTCACGATGTCCGGCTCACGCTCATGCAGCGGTTTTTCAAAGATGTAGGTGTCGCATAAAATATGACCTTCTTTTTCACACCAAATGTATGTTTTTTGTTAACCAACAACACAATTAACAGAAGGCCACAGAGTTAAAATTCCTGAATACAAACTCTCATTGATGTGATTTCTCTCCTTTGAATTCTGCAGAGCTCCTGTCTGCAGTCTGTGTCAATAGGTTGGGATGGGGGTGTCTACGTCCAGACCTGTGGACACACTTTACATATAGATTGCCATAAGTCATACATGGAGTCTCTGAGGGTAAGTGAAAGCTTGACCTCATTAAATGATTAGTCATTATGCTAATTATAATAGTTATTTGACAGAAAATGAATCGATGACAATTTTGACCATTGATGAATTATTTAAGTCATTACTCTTTTGAACTCTTTTAATACATTCTTATTTTATTGTATTGCTTGGACTGAAGTTAACTTAAGATTTTGGTTCACCTTCCTTTCATGCCAAAGCGATCCTTTGTACTTGATACTTTAACCTTTAAGACTCAAGTGTCAACTGTTTAGAGTTTGGATTGTGAAGGTGAATCTCCATGGATGTCTTTTTTTTCCCAGAATGACCAGGTCCTCCAGGGTTTCTCCGTTGACAAGGGTGAATTTACTTGCCCACTGTGTCGACAGTTTGCCAATAGTGTCCTTCCCTGTCGCCCTGGGCGGGGCACTGAGTCTGCTGCCTGGCACACACCCACAAACAAGAAGACGTGTGTGATTGTGAAGGAAGTGGAAGATCTTCAGGAGAAACTCGGCCTTTTCCCTGTAAGTTTCACATTAAGCACACTGTATGTTTTGCACTGCTGCATTCTGAGCACACAGTCAGTGCTGGTTGTTGATAGATGAATCACCAGTGTTAATAATTCTGAGAAAAAAAATTAACCAATGAGCTTACTCCAATAGGGGTCCAAAAGTTTTACAAATGAAACAGACATTTGGACAAATCTGACAATTCAGAGACACAATTGGAACAATTCTGTCAACTCCAGACTATTATTTGATACTGTTTCTAGGCTCTCACAGCGTGATCAGGCAGTCATTGGTACTGTCATCAGTCATCGGTGCTCTCCGTGCACCGACACTTTGGAACAGGTTACCTATGGCCATTAGGCAGGCTTGTTCTGTTGAGGTTTTTAAAGCAAAGTTAAAGACCCATCTGTTTCCTGTTCAGTATGAGTCATGATTTCTCTGTATGTTTTGTTCCCGTATTTTAACTGTATTGCTTTGTACAGCACTTTGATTTAAAGCGCTTTATAAATAAATTTATTATTATTATTATTATAACTCACCTGACGATCTGCATGGATGGATGTTATATTATAATGTTTGGCTGAATGATTTATGTTTCATTTACTTAACACCTTTATTTATTCTGCAAGATTTTTTTGAACACAGTTTAAAAAGTTAGTACAATTGTATGTTAACATGTTTGGCCCTAGTTATTACAAATCCACGAGTGGTATTATAACCATGTTCATGGCTTTTGTAACGGTGTATTTGAACCACAGTGAAGGCTTGATTTAATATTAATTTCTGCTTTGCATTCTTTAAGATCTTTAATGCTGATTGATTTTAAATTGGGTCATTTTAGCTATTAACGAGATATATTTCCATCACAATCTGCAGTCTAAATTGCAGATGGAGAGTTATTAAAAAAAAGAAAAAGACAAATATTATCTACTGTAACTATATCATGACAAGTCCCACTGTCTCACCTGGCTTGTAGCTGATTAACAAAATAATTTATGTTTTTTTATTGAAAACATTTTTGAATTATTAAATGTGTTAGAAGTATTCTGCTGATTTCTCGGTCAGTTAGTCAATATAAGGAGGTTATGGATATAACTAACAACAAATTGTGTAATTTTGTGACACATTTTGAGTGACTTTCTGTTTAAAATGTTTTTCTCCGTTTATTTGGCTTCTCAAAGTTCATGCCAGAAATAACTTTGACTTCTGTTTTCCCTTCTTTTAAAGACTGAATCAAACTTGAGTAAAGAGATGGAATTGGTTATTAAGGACATCAAGAATACCACCCAGAAGAAATACATGGACTACGGCAAGAACCCTGGCTCTCCTGACAATGATTTCCTCTTCATGTACTCAGTGGCAAGGTGAGCAGTTTAAAGGGATTCAGCTCATGAAACCCTCCTTAATAGGGATCATTATATATTGTTTAGCTGTGTTGACGAAGGAAATAGCATTCTGGCATGATCTCCAAAGAAAAAAAAAAAACCCTGTTTAGATTTGTTGATTTCCTGAAGGATGTCCTACAGGTCCTAACTTATTGCAAAAACAACACCCAGGCAAAGCTAGTAGTAAGGGAAGCTACAGTCCTGTGGCATATCTCAGAGTCTGGAATGCAGTTTCTGGAGAGGTCATAGGAGGGACTGCATGTGTCTTTTTTGGATTAAGTTTGTGATTTTCACAGACAGTCTCCAAGCATGATAGACGGTTAGTATTAAGTTGGACAGACCTCTGGCTTTGGGGCTGGTTGATTTTGAATGAATGATGAGAGTCTGAGGTACTCTGCTGGAAAAAAAATGAATCAGCAACTTTTAGTTTGGAGTTAGTTGATGCCCTTTACGAAGGAGTCCATATGAAGTACATGCATTTAAAACGCACATGCATTGTAAATCAGCTGTCTTGTAATCTCTGTTTCGGAAAAATCAGAAACCAAGGTAAGGAAAGCAACAGTCAGTGTTTTATTATAAACATTACATTGAATTTCCACCAGAGAACACTTTCTAAAAGTTATTTTTGCTGTCAATTATATTTCTTCAAAGACAGAAAATCAGAGTCAGCAAAAATGGGTTTTGACAGGACAGGCCTTCAAAATGTCGGAATGGGCCAGAGAAAGTGCAAACGGTGCATCTTTACTTTTAAAATATATTTGATATGGTTCAGGATACCAAAGACGAAGCTGGGGGACTTGGCTGCAGCAAAAGGCATTTTGCTTTGTTTAGCTCACTGCTAGCGAGCTAAACAAAGTACCTGAATAACTTGGTTATGATATTATGGGTTGATACATTTAATTTGATGTCCTTTTATGTGGAGCCACTAGGCAGTGTGAATGGGCTGGATCTTGTCCATTAAATATCCTATAAAGAAGAATTGGCATTAATGAATTACGTTTATGCTCCTTGGTTCATTATATAGAGAATAATCCTGGATTTAGACACATGTCGGTTGTGAATCTAGGAGGTGACTCTCTGTCTTTCAGTGTCTTCTGTCCTCCAACTTGATGAACCTCTTTCTGCATCACATCACACAGCTTTACTAACATGCACACACCACTGACTTTTAAGATCAGTGAGATAAATGCCACTCTGTTCTTTTGCTCTCTGATAATGTCAGCTCCTCAGCTTGAATAACAATGATGGTCCATGCAAAAAGAACACTGTGTCACAGTAGGTTTGTACAAGTTTTTCTCCAAAAACTCCTCCAAATTGAACTGAAGTTCAATATTGCAGCTGTAGCAAAATACTTGCTCCAAACATATAGATTGCTTTACTTTTTTTTCTTCTTCAAATTTCTTCAGGGAGCTGTGAAGGATTTGTTGATTTGTTTTCTTCATACTTGTCTGGAGGTATAGCAAGCAGAGTGACTTTCTGAAGCAGCATTAGCAGGTTTGTCACTTTAGGCCTCAGTAAGGTATTGAGCCTTCCTCTATCTTTACTTGTTAGATCTGACAAAGTATGGATATCATTCTTGTCTTTCCACTGGTCTTTCCACTGGTCTTTAAATGGTGCATCATATAGTTCCTTTAACTTATCAGCCTTTAACCCGGCCCGGGTTTGAATCCGACCTGTGGCACCTTTCCCGCATGTCATTCCCCACTCTCTCTCTCTCTCTCTACCCGATTTCTGACTCTATCCACTATCTGTAAAAAATTAAGGCATTAAAGACCCCAAAAATAAACCATAACAAAAAAAAGAAATCTTAATTTTGCCACCTATCACTCAGTAAAAATGCCAGAACATAATCAAAACAATGAAATCCCTCATTGGTCATTCTCATTTGTATCTTCTCAACAACCACAGGTTAGAGTAATGAACGTTGTCCAGTTCACCACTAAATCTTGAACGTTATCCTACTCTCATTCTAAAAAACACTGCCCTTCCTGCAGCGTAACCACCGAGACCTTTTGCCCACCCAGTGCCTCGGTTCTCTCAGCCTCCACCCTGAACAGAAGGATCCCCTGAGTGTGTCTGGGAAGCCTGTTGGCTCTCTGAAGTTCAATGAACAGCGCAAATTGCCTGAGGAGTGGAAAATTCCTTTGTCACAGGGGCACTCTTATCAGCAAAAGCCAGATGGAGCTTCACCGTGGCTGCATTATCTATGTGAAATTGCTTTTTCTCCCAGTAAACCCGAGGATTTGCCCCCACCCTGGCCCATGGAAGGAAATGGCCAGTGGCAGAATAAAAATAGGCCTTGATCAGTCTTATTTTAGTGATACCTATCTGTTTCCACCATCTATGCACTTAGTGAGCGGTTTTGCTTTATTTTATTTTTTTTATTATTGGGAAATTAAAATTCAAGGATAAAATGTGTTTGTTTATGCATGGGTAACACACATTGTGGATTATGCATGAGCTGTGGTTGCAAACAGCTTTTATGCTAATGGTTGAGCGAGTGCAAAATCTGTCTTTGATAGCTGTCATTTACTTGATATGGAATTGCTTCTTCAAAACAGGACATTAAACAGCTAAATGGCGTGAGTAGGCGGCATCTTTCTTCTTTCTGATCTAGTGGTAGAGAGGCTGTTAAAACCAAAATATGATGATACCACGACATTTATACCACAACCACCCGAAACAAATCTTAAATACGATCACTTTTGTATCAATGACCCCACCCCCTATGGTGCCTGCAAACATGACAAATAACTTCTATTCTCGCTTACCTTCAGTGATAGCAGCAGGTATGTCATGTTGAAGGGGATCAATCACTGAGGTGCTTTCATACTGCTGATATAAATATTACAAATATCATGCTAATTTTGCATGATCTATTATGTAATAAGTGATTATAATAAGCACATGCCAACTGCTAAATTCAGCGTTAATATCTTTATTGTTTTACTTTAAGATTTATTTTTGGCTTTAAGGCCTTTATGTGATAGGATAGTAGATAGAGTAGGAAGTCAGGGAAAGAGAGAGTGGGGAGTAACGTACTTGTAAGGAGCCACAGGTCAGACTTGAACCCGGACTATAGCCCCCTTACATGGGGCACGACCCCACCGCTAGGCCATCAGTGCCGCTTTCTGAAGTAATTCTCAACTAAAAAACAATTGGCTGTGAAGGTTATATGATGTGTTTTGATTTATACATGCCAGGTTCCTTTGATTCAGTGTGTATGATATGATTCTATCTAGATGTAAGCTGTGGTGAAGAAATTAAGTGGACATAAGTGACTCAAAATAAAAGTGATGTAAAAAGTGAAGCAGTATAAAGCGAGTACCTGTCACCTGTTACTGTCGCATTTAAGCAACTGAAAAGTTTTTAACATGAACACAATTGAATTAAAACAGGATGTAGGATACGGTAATTTGATTGGGATTGATTAGACCACCACAAGATGGAAGCCATGACGGTAACCCAAGACCTGTTGACTAATCACAAGCCGACTACCTGAAATCCACATTTGAATCTCCTTTCGTCCTCTTACATGTCTTTGGTTTCTGTCTGTGGTTTAGAGTCTTTAGAGTCTTGACTGTCCTAAACTGGGTGTTTGTCCTTTGAGGGTAAATTATGATATGGTGAATGATTTGAGGGTAATTTATTGATAATAATATTTAATATAGATATGATAATACCTAACATTGTATTTAATGTAAGCCCCCTTTATAATTTAGAGGGTTATGTTTTTACAATCATGGTAGGGTTATTTATTTGGATGTGTTTTTTGCATATGCACTTCTTGAAATGTATCAACCTGCTTTTTTCTTTTCTTTTCTTTAAACTGATCATCATGGTTCTGTCTCCTCAGAACAAACCTGGAGCTGGAGCTTGTGCATCGAGGAGGAAACTTGTGCTCTGGAGGAGCCAGTGCTGCTGCCAAACGCTCATGTCTCAGTGAGTACCTAAGCCTTCTCCTTTTTTTTTTTTTTTGATATCTTAAAATACAGTTTCTCTTAAAGTTTGAGATTTTCATGTCAAGGGAAGAACAGATAACATGATATCACTGTATCTTTGGGACATTTCAATTAGTATTTGTTGGCATCAAGTCAAAACTGTGCTGAATTATAAAATACATCTATTTTGACTTATCCTGAATTAATTTTTTTAATGTTGATCAACTTTGGGGAAACTAGCAGGGATTAGCTTGGTTTTAAAGGCATTAAATAAAAAAATAAAAAGCAAATGGGACCCCAGTCAAACATTAAAATGCACAGCCTACTGCTCGAGAAGAACCACCCAGATGAGTACAACAATGTCAGTCAGGGAGATGACATACCTGTGGACACTCTGCCCATGCTCTCATTATTCATGAAGACAATCTTCCACACCCTAAAGCTAATTATCAAGTGGCACTAAAATGACAGAGAGGTAGTTTGATGCATTTATTGACACTGCCATAAAACTCTCCTGTTGACAGAATGGATTTTTTTCCGGTCTTGGATTCATGTATAACTACCAGGATGTATACAGAATTTTAACAATCAAAACAAGAACTACTTCTGGATGAAATTGCCTACCCTAACTCTTTTAATGACCTGCTGTGTTTTCACTGCTATTTGATGAAATTGCAAGTACCTATGTCAGATCTCTTTTGATGTTTAACTCGACAACTACAGTGACATCTCTTGATGAAGCAAGCTGTACATCAGTACCTGAGGACCTGTGTAATGAAGTGTCTGACTTGAGACCAGACCCATTTTCTGTGTTACAGTGGAACCGTTAAAAGAAAGAAAAACAAAGACACAGTCGATTAGAAATGGCAGGCCGGGATACATGATGTCCCATGTGAGCTGTTGGGAGCAGGCAGACTTAATGAAGCAGACAAATGGGTTAAGTGCTGGTTTAGTTGATTGTGTCACAGCTTAAAAGGGCAAGAGAAAACGTTGAATTATCCACCACCATGTTCTTTGTATTAATTACTGACAGTATCTTCAATTTTAATCACTTTTAAAGAATGGGATTTTAAAATAAAAATTGTATATAAAGCTGGAGTCTGTTGTTCAAACTCCCCCTTCTGTTTTCTGTTGGTTTAATTATTCTGTCAAAGCTGTGTGTGCTGCAGTAAAATGGCCTGTCATCCTTGAGTGGCTGAAAAGAGATTTCACACTGGAGGTTTGCCATTTTTGAGCTACATTAACCATGTAGCTGTGCTGACAGCCAAATTTACTCAGTTGCAGTACATTAGTGTTCCTTCTTCTTAGGCTAATGGCTTTGAAGGAAAATGGCAGACGTCTGCCAACTGTAAAAACTCTTGGGGTCCCTAAGCCTGTTTCCTAGGAGACACTTCCTGTGTTCAAGTGATGAGGATACGATGGACCACAGTGACAAACTGCCTGCAATTCCCTTGAAACGGGCTAAATGAAGTAAAGACTATGTCCTTGGTTTATTTAACTGTATATATTTGAAATTAATCTAAGGGACTATGTGGCTGTTACTGTTCTGGGAGTTTAAAGGCACACAATGATGAATAGTTTTACAGACTTGCAGTTCTTGCTGGAGAGTTTTGACAGCCGAATCGGCCTTACTATAGTCCACTATTCACAGAGAATACACATATTATTTTCACAGACTGTATATACTGTTAAAAGTAAAATACATTAAAGTATTTGTATGCACGGTGGTTCATTGTTCCACAGATGGGGTCATATATTATATTTACATTAACAGGTGTTCTTTAACTTCTTTGACAGACAAATGTCAGCTCTGAAAACATTTAGCAGTCTATGGACAATGATATTTCAGCTGCTCTAAAATAACAGTGTTCTAGGAATATCTATGTAGAACTGTGTTTTACAGTCTAACCACAGCGATAAGATGCCTGCCTCAAGGTGTAACAGACTAAAATAAAGAAACAAACCAAACAAGTAGTCCTCTGTAAAGCCATTTGCCATGTCATATTGGCTTGTACCTGACCTAATAGTATATGTCCAACTGCATGCATCTTTCTTTTTTATACCAACACCAAGAAACAACTTAAAGCCTGGTTTAATTCATCTGTCTTTTTTTCCCTCATTCACCTGTCTTCCTTCCCTTTCATTTCTAGGTAAACAAGATTTGGATAAGACAAATGGGATTCATAGAAGGACTGAGGTTTCTTTGTGCTATGCTTTTTTTTTGCCTGTGGAGGGCAGTGTTGCTCTAAGTATAGCAGAAGTGAAAATGCAGAGCTCATTATTTAAGGCACTTTGCTGCATTATAGCATCATAATCTTTGTCAAACAAAACCAAATAGGATTAGTGTTGCTCATTGGAAAAGGTTTAGGTTATACACAAGGTTGTTGTGTTCACACTTTTCATATGTAATTTTAAATCTGTCCCTCTTATGCAATTTTTATATTTCTGGCATTAAGGGGACATGGATTGAGTTCATGATCTGAATAAGTGGGTTAATTTATTTCTACACTAGTAGGACAGACAAGGACTTTTATTCACTTTGGAATATGTTACCTAACATCTCAAATGAGCGGGTCAACCTCCCGCCTTTTGTCCAGGTTTGCTGCAATGTCATAAATTGAGCACTTGTAACAGGTCTGTTTAGAACAAAGACAATGGAAGCCATAAACTGCTATTACAAGCTAGTGTGTCCATAAAAGATTGTGTGTTTGCAGGGGGTGGGGGGGGGTCTGTCTTCATGTTCCATTAGTTTCACAGCGAACAGGTGTGACCTGACCAAAGAATTGCTCAAGGCTATCGAGCACCGCCATGTATCCATCAGGCCTGGCCTGGTTTTGTCCGAGCCAAACCATTAGCTGGCAGTCAGTTCAAGTCAACCGCTCTCATCATTTGATCTGTGCGGGTTGCTGCTTGGGTGTTACAACAGACGCTGAGATAAACACACTGTTGCTGTTTTTTTTCCCTGTCAGACCTTGTCTAAAACTTAACAATAGTATGCTTTTTGTTCTCCCTCTTTCAGATCAGCTGTTCCATGTGCTGGCCATGCACATGCGCCTGTACAGCATTGATTCAGCCTACAACCCCTGGACTAAGCTGACTCAGGTCGCACAAAGCAGAGAGGCAGAGTGAGTGACTTCCTTTAAGTACCCCCTCTAAGAATAAATCTATAACCCCCCCTCACGTCTGTACTTTCCTCCCTCACATAAACATGCAATCAAAGCGCCACTTTGTCCTCTCTATAAACGCCACCATTTCCTCCTGCCCCCAACAGCTTTTTTTTTTCTCCACACAAAGAGGAGCTAAAAACTGAAAAGGGACCATGCGTGGTTTCCATAGATACCAATAATTGCTGCATCTGGCAAATTACTGGGCACTCTACAAAGAGCAAATGGCCCCGTCAAATTCACTATACTTGGAAAAAACTGCACTGCACCAACACTGTACGAGCATCTTAACTCTGAGCTGTGTCCACCTGACGTCAACAGAAAATGTGTATTCAACATGATACATTGGACATGGCTACTATTGTTATGAGCACGTGTGTTAGCATTTTAGTCCAAAAACCCAGGCAAACATTAAGAGAAGCTAATGGCAGACCTTAACATGATGAGCTTGAACAACCTTTCCTCCCTGTTAGTGTTGGAAGACAGCTTTTACACTTGTTACGATTAAAGTGCTCACAGGCATAAAGTATTCTCAGAGGAGCCATTTGGTGTTTAAAAATACTCTGTTAAGGTTTGGGGAGGGAGGACTGTCATTGACGCCCTAAGGCAGTCAACCTAAACAAGTTAAATAGGACAGAGAGAGATCTTTCTGTGCTGATGCACAACATTGCTCTTGCAGGTCTTTTAGATCAAGCGGAATGTATGAAGATTTTACAGTTCTTCGTAAATATAGTTTGTATGCACAGGTCCATGCAGGGTCGAAATCTCGATCCTCTAAAGCTTTCCTTCGATGCACAGTGGAATTAACTGGTGAGTGCTTTGGTAATGGAAGGTATTATTCTTTAAGTGCAGTTCCCCCTCAATGAAAAGCCCCGAGGCCTTTCAAGAGCAGAGAGGAGATTGGAACCTCTCTGAATTGTCAACAGAAGAGAAGACATTTAAATGGAGATGGCACATAATATGAATGTGTAACTAGGGCTGCATTAAGGATGTTCAAGGAATGGGCCTTTTAAGCCATGTATTTGTTAAATAAATTTATACAACAGGACCTTTGCACTCATACTTCTATTTATTATCCTTTTCAGACATTCATTCTGAAATATTGCTGCCTTTTTCAAAATGATAAAAATGTTTTCTTTTTTTACTCAATTTGGCAAATGTTCCCTATGGCTTTATTCAAACATGATGAGACATTGATGGAAAGAGGAAATGCTGGTCAACATTTTGAAAACATAGACAGCAGAAATATAAAAATGTTAAGATAGTAAAAAAGAAGAGGGATTTATTCTTTTTTTGCAGGTCCACCACTGTCTTATTTCAAAGAGTCTCTGCTGTTGAAGTTTTAATAACCAGTATAAGAGCAAGTGATGCCACAGTGGATACACTTAATCCGTTTTGCATTGGCTGCATCATTGAATTGATTTTTGTACTTCATTTATAGTTTGTCATCCACAAGCATTGACAGGACATTTAGTTGTTGTTGACATGTGGTGTGAAGCGTTCTCTGTGATTTTTTTATTTTCATGTAGTGGGCAGGAAAGATCAAGGAGGGATAGTAGACTTGGGACCAACATGTTAAATTTAACTTGATTGAGTGTATGTGTAGATTGTATTTAAGTCTGTCTTTCCTGTATTTCACCATTTGTTTGAAGTCTTTGGTATTGGTTGATAACTATATAAATCCATTGGTATTGGTTGATAACTATATAAATCCTTTGGTATTGGTTGATAACTATATAAATCCTTTTTTATGTTTTTCCATCATGTTCCAGTGTCTTTGACGATGAGAGGCCTGAGGTACCTATGCTGTTTCGAGATGTCCCATCACTCCTTATCATCTTTGTGCTAACAATGCCTCAGCCTCTGCGAAAAGGTACGCCTTCTACGTCTGCAGCACAGCACTTTATGAGAGAGTAGGGAGCTCCATAAGGACAGCCCCATTATCAGCAGTAATCAGGTCTGAGTGCTGCAAAGGAACATTTCACATCTCTTATCTGTGCTCCACTTGCTGTTATTTGGCTGTGAGGTTCAGAGAGACCATGACCCTGGTGATGGGAGGGCTGCACTTCCTTACCGTGCCCTTCATATGTGGCTTGTTGCTGCATCTCCTCCATCTTAAGTCCTCAGTAAAAACAAAACACCTAGAGACATGGCCCAACACATTGAAGTCATGTTTGAAAGGGGGCATGTCATTGGTCACAAATGACTGAATAAGGACGGCAACTGGCGGGAGCATTTCGTAAAAGTAGATGTCTTGATAATAGCTTCTTATTGAAACAATCATACTTAGATATCCCTAATGTTTGAAATTCAGTTTTTCTTTATGTGCAGGGTTATTTCAAGGTTGTGGTGTTTTTTTTTTTTAAAGAACAACAGGTGAGGCATGATTGCTTCTTGAGGGCTCCTTTTTAACTGAATTGATATAAAGTGATTGCTTCCTTTTCTTTTAGTTCTACCTCTTGAATTGTGTCCACTGACACTCTTCACAGTGACCAGGACAGTGGAGCTGTCAGCAGTCTTTTGCTGCAGAGGAAAACAAATTGCACTCTTTGTTTTTTCCTTACACCAAACTTAAATTTCCTTGCGCCTATATTTTCCACTTGACGTGCTCTGCTAATTACCCTGCACACTGCTCAATGAAGCTCTCCATGTCGATCTGAGAAACCAAATTATAAAGCCAAAGCAAAACCACTTCTTCAAAAATGATTTCTCTAAGGCAGGAGAATAAAGAAGATTGATGTAATGTAATGAATCTGTGAGTTAATTTTATGTTTCCTTTGGTCTTTCTTTCTCCCTATGCAGAGCACTTCACATGTGTGGTGAAGATGCTGTACAACCTGCAGTACACACAGGCTCTGGCTGCAATTTCATCCAAGTTCAGCCCAGAAGAAAGACAGGCCTGGTGCACATCTGGAGCACTCAAGAAGGTAAAAGTCACATTAGGAAGCTTGTCATAGCATTGATAATCAAATGCCAGTGTCAAACATATATCTTGGCTGGTACTAATCTCCTGAATTGGTCACAAAGAAGTGGTCGTGGTCGTAAACTGTAATAGCCCAGTGTCACAGAACAAAAGCCTTTGTTGCTGCAGGATTTAACTGTTTTTTTGTTGCTCTGAGTTCCCCTTCTGAAGAATGTAATAATAAGAGACATTAAACATCTCATTGTATCCCATGATTGTATCTTCTGATTGTTCCTCAGAACTGGTCTACACAGTCAATCATTACGTGTATTACTTATTATTGAGATGAATAGAACCCTTTCTAGTTTCATTCCCATGATTCCCACAGCCGACAGTATCGATCTTCATTAGAAGAGAAGTGTGATTGCTGGAGAGTCTGTTGCATTAATTGGCTATCTATCTTCAGTCTATTAAATCTGTATTAGTGTGAGTGGCTGGCTTGAATGTCCAAAGACAAATAGCTGAACCCACCCCTTCAGGGTGATTCCATCCATACTGCTTTGGTGGATGAGTATCTTCTTACTATACTGTCATGAACTGTAGTCCAGGCTCTCTCTCGGCTGCCTCTTGCAGTTAAGATGGATTTCAAATCCACATTGAGGATGGCATCCATATTAGGTGAAATAAAATCAAGGTAATTTAATTGAAGTTGTTAAAATAGATGCCGTCTGAACAAAGATCAGAGCCCAGAGGAAGGAAATCCATGGAGTAGAAAATCCTCGCCTATAAATCTATGACAAAGGACAGCAGACGAGATAAGACCGCTGTTTTATATTCCACCACCTTCAGCTTGATAAATGCTTGCAGCTTTTTTCCTCTATATAAAATACGAGGCAAACCAGTTGAATTTTTTTATCAGAACACACATTCAGTAATGTCTATACTCTTTATCAGATTGTATAACGTGCAGAAAGAACAGTTGTCTTCCTCTGTATCTGCATAAGTCTTTATATTCTATGGGGCAGCATCATTTATACGGAGGAGGAGGAGGGGGACGAGGGAGGGGCTCAAGTGAAGCATTCTGATCTGCGTTATAAATTCTGATATGTGGCATTCAAACACGAGACAACTGAAAATAGATCTAATAACACCATGACCTTGGTTTTTATAAGAGAGTAATGTGAGTCATATGCTAAGGCTTTCAGAGCTACATGTCTCAGTTGAACATGGTAATTAAGCACATGCAGGAGCTATACTTTATTATAGACCGTGTTTCCACCAAAGAAGAGGATATCAAGTGAGAGAGCTTGAGCCTTCTTGATTTTAAGACACTTGTAGAATCACATCCAACAGTTAGCTATGATTGTTTTTTGTTTTTTTTGCCCCTCAACACAATGAGTAGTGATTAATGCATTAGACCTGCTGCTGACAGTTAGGAGCAGTTACCTTATTGTTTGTCACAAAAATTCATGATATATGCAAGAGTGTTGCATATGAAAGAGTGTTTTTTCTTACAACATTCAGTATGTTTGTAGCATTCTTTTTTTATTTATTTTAGCATTTATTATTTCTCATTTGAAAAATCAATCAAACAATACAAACAGACTCTCTAGCAAACAAAAACATTACAGTTCATGTCAGTGGGGTATATGATTATTGAATGGGAATTAAACCAATGATCTATGCCAGTGCTTCCCAAAGTGTGGGCCACGGCTACCTGGTGGTCCGTGTGGGTACTGCAGGTGGGCCGCTAAAAGCCCTCCACCCAGTCTAAAAATAAAATAAATATCACAATAATGATGATTTACCATGAGTCAACCCTTTGAGTGATTAGTAAGGCGTGTCATGACTATTCATGGACAAAATGTTTAGTAAACTTTCGTGTCTCTCCTGCCATAATATCATGTTTTTTTTTTTATAATGGGCCCCGGAGTAATTTTGTATTTCAAAGCGGGCCGTGGCAGTCTTAAGTTTGGGAAAGGCTGATCTTTGCATTATTAGCACCACTCTCTAACCAACTGAGCTAACTGTCTGTAGCTGTTTTAACTAGGGATGCACCGATGCTTTGGTTCAACATCGGTATCTGTCGTTATCGGCCCTGTTAACAAACATCGGCACATCAACAAATCATGTGGCATGAACCCAAGTCAGCAGTCGATGTTTATTTGTTGTACTAAATAAATTTACTGCTGGCATCTAGTACACCTAACTTCTGATTCAGAGAAGAGTTTTTTTATTGGGCAGATGAAGTCACCTGTGGAACAAACTCTGACTTGTTTTCATTGTCAAACATGAGAGATAATGGTGGCATTGTGGAGTTTTACACTAAAAGAAGTCATGAAACAAACATTGGAATCGGCAATCATCCAAATAGTCAAACATCAGTATCGACGTTGGCCCTCATTTTCCCTACCAGTGCTTCTCTAATTTTAACATTTACAAATGTTTGCCAGTTTCTCTCTTTATTTTGATTGGATGTGGGGGTTTTGTTCTTTGGGAAAAAGTGCTGTTTTTTTTTCTTTCTGTCTGGTCTGTTATACTTCTGTAGGTCGTCAAAATGGTGAATACAGAACACAAACAACAAATGTGGGCAAGAGTCAGAAATCTCAGTCTGAAGCTGTTAAGGCCAAACAGCGCATTAAACAACCTCATGTTTGTTTATTTTCTGTTCATAGAGGCAACAAATGAAAATGTTACATTGCTATTTTTAAACATAAAACCAGTGGAGCTGTGTGATAGATGTTTATTAGCAGTGATACTGTGTGCAGTTATATCTGGCATTGAGTCTACACATGACTAAAAATAAGAGGGCTAAATGAGACTGCAGATTATCCCTATTTCTTTATAAAGCTTTATTGGTTGGAGGTCATAACAATGATCTCTCATCAATAAAGTCAAGATTTTAGAAATCAGTATTTAAAGTCATTGGTAGAGACTGCAACAATACAGAAAAAAATATTTTTTAAATCGGGTAAAAAAAATATTTTAAAAAAGTCAAGGTAAAATGTTTTCCCCTTGAGCCCAGACAGGGAATAAAAGATTTAAGCTTGTGTCTGCTGAGTGTCAGAGGATATTAAATACTGGATCAAAGGGAAAATCTTGCATTTTTATTATCATTACATATTCTTAACATTTCCACTTTTCCTCCACAGAATGCTGCAAATGCCGAGAAATCATTTGAAGTGCTTCTCAGTCACGTTATCAGCGAGCTCTCTCAGGACAAGAGTGTCTACAAGGTGAACACAGAGGAAACATCGATGGTGAGGCACTAAAACCACTGTTTAGCACTTCAGAACATAACTGCCTTCAGGATGGTGCTCTCTGCCCTTTTTCATTTTCTTTTCAACATGAATCGGCCATTACCCTGAGAGACCGTGCTCTGATATCTTACTAATCTCCTGGGGAGATATACATCACAGTATTATCAGTGAGCTGTTATTGATCAAGTGTTACCATTGTTTTCCCCTCTCCAGCTCATCTCCAGTGTGTGGTCCCCACAGTCGATCGAATTCAGCCTCCAGCAGTTCTGCTTGCCCTTCCTCCGCCTCTCCTGCCTTCTGCAGCATCATCTCTATGGAGACAACCTGACTGGTTGCCTTGTATGTTTTATTTTATATGACAACCTACCTGCAGAAACACTACATTTCCCTTGTGTCTTTGCAGCAAAAATTACATTTTTTTCTTGTGACCACATTTTTAGACCAAAGATTACAAGCTATAACTATTAAATTAAACACTTGTGTAAATGAAATCAAACCTCACAAGGTGTTTTTTTTCTTGTTTATTAGGAGGAAGAGGAGTTCTCGTCCCTGGCTGTGTGTTTGGGGCTCTTACCCTCTGCTCCTCAGCCTTCAAACATCGTGCACAGTGCCTCATGTCTGACGTGGGCAGTCAGCGCTTTTGAATTGGTGATACAGTGGTGTGCTGAGGTCACAGGGCTCTCCCAGATGCAAGCGGAGCAATCACTGGTATGATAATGAATGTCAGACAAGAGGACAACATTTATAAATAACTTTATTTAAAATAATGTGCAGTATTTTTTATCTATATTCTTATCTTAATACTCTATTTCCAAAAAAATCTGCTCAGATATGATATTATTGGTACCCGCTGAATTTTAGCTTACCTTACATTTCACAATGATAACAGCAGTTCTTCCTCTTCGACAAATGAAAGCTAATTCTCAGTGGATTTCAGCATGCAGCATGATTTCTGAAAACATCTTCTTGAGAAGCTTTTCTGTGCTCCCAGTAAAAAAAAAAAAAAAAGTTAAAAAACTTTCAATTAAACAAAAAAAAAAGCAATTAAACATTCAAACCGTGTCTTTTGAACTTGATGTCCTGTAAACGATTTATGTAACTGGAGGAGATATTGACACTTGGAAATTGCTTTCAACCTTGCTTGACGAGGTCCATTGCTGATAGTGTCTCTAAGGAGAGGGACTGCATAACTAACCATGTGTCTTATGCCCTCGTCATTCACTGCTGCAGCAACCTTGGATGTTATACATCATTTGGTGAAAAACATGGAGTGTCTTGAATGTTAATTTACGTTGCTGATACCTAACCTGGGACATCATTTTTTATAACATCTGTGAGACAGGGACGACTAAAAAAAAAATTAGCCGATTGTTGATTTATAACCAAATAAGTGAATTATTTAAGAGTGTTTAATATTTTCGCTTCTGATGATTTGTGTAGAAACTAAAGCTGATAGTTTTATTATCAGGAGACTCTGGAAAGAGATTGAGGATACAAAGTATCATCACCGTAGTGAACAATACATGGCTGACCAGAATTCTGTATATTCTACATAATTCAATCCTTCCTCTCCACTATAGGGCTTGCTTGTGCAGGACCCTCAGTGGGCAGCCCCCCGCCTTCTCCAGCTCCCCGACAACTACAACATCATCTTCCAGTACTATCACAGGAAGGCCTGCACTGCCTGCAAGAAGGTGCCAAAAGACCCCGCACTCTGCCTTGTGTGTGGCGCCTTCGTCTGTCTCAAAGGCGTGTGCTGCAAACAGCAGGGTATCTGTGAATGTGTTTTGGTAAGTCTCTCTGAGGGCTACAGCCGTTTGATGGTGTCAGAATCTCCTTTTTCAATATATTGTTGTGTCGTTTTTAGCACTCCCAACATTGTGGTGCAGCTACAGGCATCTTTCTCCTGATAAATGCCTCAGTCATCATCATCATCCGTGGACATCGTTTCTGCCTGTGGGGCTCTGTTTACCTTGATGCCCATGGAGAGGAGGACCGCGATTTACGGTATGACACATGAGACACACTCACACACACACACGACTGTGTGTAGGTGGCACAATATTATGAGTACTTTAAAAAACTCATGCTGTAGCCCAGCTCCATTATTTGCAAGAAACTGTAGAAGAAACAAGTGTAACTTGTATAATGATGCATTATGTTTTTCTAATATTTCAACATCACTCTAAGCAAATCTCTACAGAGAGCTTCTCCAGATGTTTTGTGTCATGCATCATTTGACAAAAGTAAACATCAGCAAATTAAGAACATAACATGAGTTATTACCGTAAATTACAATATTCATTGTGCAAACATTCTTTTGAACACGTATATTAATCTGAATCGTATGTATTAGGATCATGTTTGTAACTCCACACCTTTCTTTTCTCTTTTTTTTAAGTATTTGTCACTGTAGAGAAAATAAACACAGCTCTCACTCTTGTTTTCCCCTCTGGCTTCTCTCCAGCCGTGGCAAGCCTCTTTTCTTATGTGAAGAGAGATATCGAGTGTTGGAGCAGCAGTGGGTCTCGCACACCTTTGATCACATCAATAAGCGTTGGGGGCCTCACTATAACGGACTCTAAGATCTTCCAAAGTCCACTGAAAACAGCAACCAATGACTGAGAAGATTTTTTTTTTCTGCCTCGATCAAAAATATTTCGGAACTCTTAAGGTGAAAACTCAAACATCCAGTGAGGGCATCGCTGCCATAGGCCTTGGTTTATGTGAAGTTTGGTGTACAATCATGCCTAAAGATTAACACGTGTGTGTGTTTCAGTGATTTATTGTGTGGTTTTCAGCAGGGAAAAACAGAATTCGTTAAAACATCAAAGTAAAAGCACAACTTTGCCCAGAAACAGATTTTGGTTTGGAGCAGGCTTTTGAAGCCTGTCATATTTATTAGGTTTAAAAAAAAAAAAACGAAGTATAACAAGTGCTGAATTCCCCTGTGGAGTTTGATTACTTTTTGCACCATTTCTGATGATGTTAATGCATATCCCTCTTATTTATCAAAATGTGCTCTGCTGTGCTGGCATGAGTTTCAGGCTCCTGATGAGTGTAGCGATGTTATTGCAATATGCACTCATAGTCGGCTGACATGTGACGGGACAAGTCCACCTATCAACACACTAGAGTTTTCTTTGCAAACAAGCAAAGACTCTTTTTATGGGTCTAGTTGCAATCCATCCTCAGGAATTATTTTTTGTTTCCTTTTTTTTTTTTTTTTCGCTGTTTAAAAATATGTTTTAGATATTTAAATAAATGCTGCTGCTCATTGTTCAAGTAAATAATTTTAACTTTTGTGAAGATTTTTTTTTTTTCTAAGGTCGTGCTTTGAGTTTACGATAGATGGCTGGGAATGTTGACTCAAACTACTTTGATGTTTAAGGAGGTATGCGGTCACCTCATTACGCTCACTGAAGCTCTCATAGTCCTGCTCTATCCGCGCCCTTTTTCTTTCTGGTTGGCTCTGAAGAAAAAAAAACTTAAATGCCAACTGCAAAATACAACTGGTCAATGAAATATCTAAGATTCATCACTCCTCAGTACCTGAAGTCAAGCATACAGATTTGAAGAGCATACATTTTAAAGGAAAGGAAATGTCATTGCACAGATATGGTGTCCTGCAAAGCTGAATGCCGTATGAGAGCAGAATATTTTATTGATTCCATTAGAAATTTTCCCCTCAGCATATGAAACTCCATGAATTACAAGTTGTTGTTTGTTTTGTTTTTGAGAAAATGCAGACTATTTTCATCTTTTGGGGCTGTCAAAAGAATTATCCCCTTTTATGCTTTCAATGGTCGAGTCCTAACTGCAGTATAGATCATTTCTTGTGATGACTATCCCTTACTCACGCATCATATAGTTGTGATTTATAGTTGCATTCCAATATCACAAGAATATCAGACTTGAGTATCCGTGATACACTGTGCATGAAATCCTTTAAGCTACCATTATTTAAGTGTCTTAGCTACTTAATTTTCTGATTATCATCTTTTTCTTTTTTTTTCTTGGAGAGGAATTTATCCAGTCGTGCCTGCAAGATTACATTTTCGAGTGTTTAACAGCACACTGCTGATTTCTCTGATGTCTGGTTTTGAAATGCTGAGCCACGCTGTGCTGCAGGAATCTTTAAGTTAACACCAACACTTGAAAACACTTCCTCTTTGAATTCATGCATGCTGCTTTTTTTCTGTTTACTGAGGTTCCTCTCTTTTATTTTGCAGTACCCACTATGTAAATGACCGCAACCAATTAGCCAACGATAAATGGGTGTAAATTGTAACTGAAAAGCTCTTGTGTGTTCTCCTGTATGACTGAAGAGAGAATACAGTACATTACTGTAGGTGCTGACTCAAACTTTGAGTTTGACCAGAAAGGATGACTTGGACATTTAATGCAAAATGTAACATATGTGAATAAAATATAAGCCCACTGATTTTAGTCTTTCTTTATTTTCTGTTTTCAGAACCTGTATTTAAGGTGTAATAACTTGTTTAACTAACTATGGAAGCCCTTAGCGTGACCATGATTTTTTTACTCAATTTTCCAGAGATAACGAGTCATTTCCGGTTGTTTTCTTGATATCATGACTCATTTATCCTATCTCAAAATAACAACATTAGTTTCCCGTTATAACAAGTTATAATCTGATTTATTGGCATCTCAATTTATTTAAGGTTTTCTCGTTGGATTCATTTACCTGCTCATCTGTAGTTAAAGCTGTCGTGATAATCTCATGATCATTTTCTGACAATGTATAAAACAAACAGACCCCGACCTGCCGTGTGGCTGGGGAGGTAAGCTAAGCCTTTTTCTGTTTATTCTTTTAGCAAGTCTTGAAATACGACAAAAAACAGGAATGTCGAGAAAGCATCAAGGACTCATTTGTCACGATGAAACGCAGTTATTTAAAATGTATGCTAACAGGACGGGCGAGCAGTGAAACTAATGGTTCCGTTCAAATGTTTGAAAAGTTTTTAAACGTTTTCTCTTTTAACAACCATAAAGGGTAGATAATACTTACAATATCACATTGGAGAGAGTGATATTGCTCTGAATATCTGAAAAAAATATTTAGCTTTTGCGTGCGTTTAGATATAGCATGCTGGTATTATAGATTTTATAGGCTTCACTAAAATGCTTTTACTAGTTTAAGAATTCATAAATTAAACAGATTATTGTTTTATTTGTTTTTGCAACGTTTTGACAGTGGTCAAGTAACACATTTTTCCTGCACTGTTGCTACTTTATGTCCACTTAAGCACATAATTGAAAACACCTGTGATGTTTTATTCTATAATAAAAACTTTGCATCTTGTCCAATCAGAACACCTGGCCTGAACCAGCTGTTGTAATTTACAACCCCGAATCCTAAATTGGGATGCTGTGTAAAATAATTAAAAACAGAATATGATGATTAAGGAAGCATTGAAATGTAAAATTTAAAATAGCACAAAGACAACATATCCAATTATTTTTTTTCATTATTATATGTCCATTTCGAATTTGATGCCTGTAACGTTTCAAAAAAAGTCAAGGTCATGTTTACCACTTTGGCTGCAAAAACACTTGGGAAGCTTTTTGGGAGCTAAGGAGGTCCACTGGGAATTATCTTCAATTTGTGTAAGAGGAAGTAGGCTACTGCTGTTATCATTGTGAAATGTTAGTTAACTAAAATTCAGTAGGTATCTGAAAAAAATCCTCGAAAGGGACTTTTGATTAAGTGTTGTAATCCAGGGGCGCTCGTGGAGCAGCGGTTAGTGCACCCCCCCATGATTTCCAACTCCATCCACTGTCCTATCTCTCTATTAAAAGCACAAAAAGCCCCAAAAATAAATCTAAAACAACAACAAAAAAGTGTTATAATCCAATTAAACATTTCTATCATTTTGAAAATGGATTGGTTAACCATTCTTGCTGGATTTCAGCTGTTCAATAATTCAGAGTCTCTTATTTCTTATTCTACCCTTTATAATGCTTCATACATTTTATGTAGGTGAAAAGTAAGGTCTGCATGTAGACAAGGTTATCACCCTGCACTCTGAAGCACATGTTCCTCCAAAACCTGTATACAGCATATGTGTCAGCACTAATGTGCAGGTTACCCATGATGCCATGTGCTCCAATGCACCCACATACCATCATGGATGCTTGCTTTTGAATTGTGCTCTGGTGATAACAAACTGGATGATCAGAACGGGGGGGGGGCATCATTATTTCCAAACAGAGTCAAATTGATCTTGTCAGAACTCAGGACAGTTTTCCACTTTGCTTTTAGATGAAACCGGACCAAGAGCAGACGACTGCTTCTCTGGACCTGGTTTATGTATGGTTTTCTTTCTGCATGGTTAAGTTCCAGCTATAGAATTTGTGAATGTTGCGATAAACTGTGTTCACAGACTTTTGGAAGTGTTCCTGAGCCCATGCAGTGATGTCAACTACATTATCTGTTTTTAATGCTGTGTCATCTGAGGTCCAGCAGATCATGGCCATCTGGCCTGGTCTCCCGCAAATGAGATTCCTTCAGATTCTTTGCAGCTTTTAATGATTTAAAGAAACTTTGGATGAAGAAATCATCAGATTATTTGCAATTAAATGTAAAAAAAAAAAAAAAACATTCTTAAAGTGTTGCACTGCACAATCTTTCACAGAGAGGTGAACCCCTTTACATCTTTACTTCAGGAAGACTCAGCCTCTCTGGTATGTTCTTTATTTTACCCAGTGAGTCAAGAAGCAACAAGTTAGTAACATAACAGAATTTACTGTGGGATGTTCAGTCTGGTGTATTTTAAAGCATTTCGCAGCTTTTCAGTCTTCTGTTGTCACTTTCCAAACTTTTATCAAACGTGTTGTCAGCATGAAATTCAAAATGGGAATATATTTGTTAAGGAAAAACATTTCAACATTTGATATCTTGTCTGTGTGTTATTTTCAATTAAATAGCCTTTAAGGTTTTCAATGTGTTGAAAATTATCACATTATATCTTCATTTACATTTCACACAACGTCCAAACTGTTTAGGATTTGGGGTTGTATTTCATATCTTAAATGAACATCAGGAAGTTTGTAAAGCAGACTTGATTACAGTTATTTTAAAGAAGCCTGATTGACATGAGTGCTGGATGGATGAACATAGTATCTGGTATTCAGCTCCATAAAGCTTAAATATAACTCTCTACAACATCTGTTCTCCCCTCGTGTACTGTAGTGAGATAATGTGGATGGTAGGGTGCAGTCATTTACCTCGTACTGTGTCCACCAGGGGTCTCAGTTCACTGGAGCTCATCAGATCATAACCTCCATAGAGGAATTCATGTGACCTGATGAACTGAAAATGTAAATCTAGTCTGAAGTAAAATAGAAATCTGTCTCAAATACAACCAAGCAGAAATATCAGTATGCACTTGTTCGATCAGAAATATCTTTGAATGCCAATTGTAGGTGGTTGTAGCTGAAAAGTAACAGAATAAGAGTTTTCTTTTTACATTTTTGTGGAAATGTTCTAAAAATACACACTATTACAGTGTAGTTTTGCGTGCATGGTTCCGGTTTACCCACCTCGCTCACTGCCCCTTTATGAGTCCAAGAGAAGTATTGCATTCCCCATGTGACCGAGCATTTTGAGGATAATTGGGTCGAAGTTTCACAAACAAGGGAGGCCCTCTTTTTAATGACCAATGGCTGAACAAAGCCTCTCTTTTTTACCAATTAGTCAAAGAGAAAAAAACTAGTCTAGTATGGACCAGTGGAGAAACTCTGTCCTGGTAACAGCACAGCGTTTGTGTTACAAATTTCACGCTGAGAGATGTTGGTGTTCCAGGCGGTGCTGCGGAGAGCATCACTGGACATTGACTCATTTACCTCCTGTCCAGGTAGGTTTCTCTATCTGCTGCTTCATAGAGTATAAATAGACCATTAAAGGAAACATGACGTGTTAGTGGTCAGCTGAGAACCTGCTCAGGTGTCCATACTGTTAATAATTAAAATGCTTCAGTGAGTCAACAGGCAAATCAGTTCGGATATGTTGCTATGGCGGGTAAGCCGCATGTAAAGAATGTAAAGAGCCAATACAGTATTACTTCTGTACAACTGACTGCAGTGTTAGCTGTTTTGTTTCTGATATATAGAGATGGATAGAAGACAGAACAGAAATCAGCTGATGTCTGATTACTTTTCCCTGTTTTGCAGATTTTAGAGATGGAAATACGGTGGCAACAAAGACGAGGTAGGATACATGTTTTCTATTCAGGTGAACTGTTCTGACCCTCCATTACTTATATTCTTCTTCCACTTTTACTTATATTGAACATAGTACAATACTAAACACACAGCTGGATTTATTTAAAGCTGTTTATTAGAAGCAATTCAACCTTTTAAAAACATCACTTAATAGTCATGAAGAAGTTAAATGAAAGTGGTGGAGGAAGAATAAAGGTAGTCTTAACAGTATCACAGTGTAGAAATACAAAGGAGTGAAAGTTCTGTTTTCAAAGTCTAAAAGTAAAAAAGAAAATCAGCATCAAAACTGCTTAAAGTACCAAAAGTGACAGTTCTCATTATATATCATGTGGCATTTCAGATCAAATAATTGTATATTTTCTGAATGTAAATATATATTGGCATAATGAATGTGTCATAAGTAAATCATTCTGTGTCTTGTAGCCTGTGTGTTTCCTCATGTTTGGAGTCTTATCTTACTACAGTCTCACAGGTTATTTAATGCAATAGATTTCATAAGAAGTTTAAATTAGCACAAAGTAGAGGTAGTAAACTGAAAGTAGCTGAAAATGTAAAGTAAAAACACCTGAAGTTTCTACCTATTGTAATGTCACTGCATTAGTTTGATGTTCTTTCTTACCTCACTCTCTATGTCCACATTATTTCTTCACATCAAACATTTCAGTTATTTGTCGTAAATCTGCTGAAGTTGACCGAGCTACCGTTGAAATTGTGTTGTTGTAACTAAAACTAAAACTGTTTGAATATTGTTAAAAATCTGGAATAATGTTAAAGTGTGTAAAAAAACAAGTATGTGCATTGAATGAAATCAATGATCACTTAGTAATAACATTAAAAATGACGCTTGTATGATTTGTATGATTTGTCTGTTTTTCTAGTGAGCAAAGTGATTTTGTGTTTTGCAAAGTGCAGTGGCAGAATTTTGTATTTAGAGGTTTGATTTTGCTGATTTATGTTCGCTCTTTGCATGAAAGGTTTTGCTCTTTGAAAGTTGGAGTTTGCACTTTCCATTTGAGCTGCTAAAACAGCTATGATGTTTCTGATTGGATGGCTGAGAGTAATGGCCGACTTGTGCTCTTTGAGTGATCGTTTTGATGATGGATGTTGGCTTCTTGTCTATGAGGTTGATGTTTTGTTTACCCAAATCATTTGGAGTTTAATAATCTGGCAGCTAAACTTCGGCGGGTTATTCTTGAG